CGAAACCTATCCAAGTAACGTCCAACATCCATGAACAACTTGAGCTTATCGAAGATCAGTGTGTGCTAACGACCGTCGTGAAGAGGAAAGCAACCCAGACCGCCAGTTAAGGTATTGCAAGTCATGGTTAAGTGGGAAACGATGTGGGAAGGCCCAGACAGCCAGGATGTTGGCTTAGAAGCAGCATAAATTGGAGGACAAGATTAAATTAAGAAAAATGTACTCAGTGTACGTTCATGTTGAACGGTTTTACATTCACTGTACATCAATCTCCTCTGATCTAGGGAACAAAGGGTAGTGCTTGGATGCAGTAGACGTAGAACTGAATTTTAAGGTCATCACCCACATGTTTTTGTAAACTCAAACGTTTCTTTCCCTTTCTCATTATCTTATCGCGAAATCCTCTCTAACCTACTGCTGCTTCAGAACAACGTAAGTTCCCGCAAATCAGATCAATACAAACCAGAGAACATTTTTGGTCCCATCCTTTATATAATTTCTATTACTGCCCTACCTGAATGCCATCATTACCACCTAAGCGGAAGGTACCGCGATTTTCTCGTCTAGATCGAATCCTATCCAAGATACCTCCAGCATCCAAAATACGTTGCGCTTGTCGAAGACAAGTGCAATAAATTGAGGACAAGATCAAATGAAGAACAATGTACACAGTGTACATTCACATTGAAAAAACAATCAAAAGCAAAGAGAATCGAAGGACTTTACCTAGAATGAAGTGAAACGCCCACACTTGCGTGTTTGCTTAAGCTGCAACAACTTAACAGAAGACTTGGACAACTACGAAGTCTCCCAAGACCGAAATCTGATTTGACCGTCAAAACTCAACAGTATAAGGTTAACCCGATTTTACTGCGACCACTTCGGACATACAGAGTGGAATCGATAAAAGTCCTTACAACGACACTAACCTCACTATCCACAACGACCTCAACATTCCTTTTGTGAACGAACTGATCCGTTCCCGATTCCAAAAGTTTCCCACCAACCTCTGGATCCATCCTTAATCGACGATGCCCTCGAGACCTCCTTGCCCCTAAATCCCTCACATTGATTGCCAGCATTGGCATGTACGAAAATGTGTTGGGTACAAGTAAAATAATAATAAAAGTAAATAAAAAATATAAAAAAACCTTTACTGTTGTAATTGTTGATAAGCATCCAAAAAAGATTTATTATTCTTTTTTATGTTTGTTTAAATATGTTTTTTTAATCTATACTATTTTCTGCCTAGTTTGTTATAATGCAATTGTTACAAATTATCTTGTCGAGAGGTGTAGATGCGCGAGCCCGGCTTTTATGCAAATCTCCATTCCATAACGGGCTTCGAGATTTTATAGCACTTATAATTTTATACCAATTATCTTATCACGAATTCTGTTCATTTTGTGTGTGTGTGTGTGAGTGTGTTCCTTTTTATTGAATTTGGTTTGGCTATATAATTTCACGAAGTTAATTATGATTTCACGCAAGAGTGTCCGTTTTGTTGGCAACCGTATGCAACATAAATGACTTAAAATAAGGCTTGGGATGATTTAAATATTCATACTACTTTATCGGTTCACACCAATTATGTAAAAGACGCAATTTCCAAATTCTAAATAAATTTGAACATACTATACTTACGATCATCGATTTTCTTGTCATATAATCTTAAGTTCAACGTTTTGGCTGAACGATTTTGACAATGCTATGCTTACAAAGTTCATACTTAAACATATAAATTTATGTAAAATAAACAATTTTTTGCTGAAATTAACTTCAGGAATGCAATTTATACCCGTAAATATATTTATTCGCTAAAAATAGTGATGTACGGCTTAGGTAAAATGTGTTGGTAATTTTATGTCCCATCGTTATTTACCCTCCATAATTACTGTTATTATCACATTATTTATTATTGAGTAAGATGTGTTTATAATTGTTTGGTGATTAATTGCCATCAAAAGGCCTGCTGTTATATTCTCTTGGCAGTTCCGCTCTTTGAATATTGATGAAAAAATGTCTCATGTTTAAATTTTTTCTTGTCTGAACGTATACAACGTACTCATCAGTGGGCAATGCTCGGAATAGATGGTAGTCTGAAGGAGCGAGGTCGGGTTGCGGGTGACGACGAAGCACAATTTCTTGGCTGTGCGAATTATGAGATATTAAAGTAAAAAGTATTTTAATCCAGTTTTTAATTTTTTTGTTTTTATGTTATGTTACTTTTTCATCTTATGATGGTGGAAGTCATTCAAACATGATCTTTAAACACTTCGGTCTAAAGAAGCAAGGTCAGATGTTGGACATGACAGACGTTTGACACCTGGTGGTACCACTTTTTGGATTTAGAGAGAAAAAGAATTTTATTTCAGGGCAATGCTCTGAATAGGTCTGGACTGAAAAAAGTGTGGAAAAGGGTCAATTCCTAGGATTCTTGCTTTTTGATGGTAAAATTTATATATTCCTCGGTTGGCGGGTAAGTTGGAAGCTTAGTTCCTTGACCAAACCACCTGTTGGATATTAAACGGAAAATTCTTTTAATACATTTTAAGTTGGGTAACCTTTTTCTCTTAAGGTAGTGAGTAGTGCAAGGAATAGCCTGAAGAAGCAGTTTGGGGCAAGGTCAGAAATGGGTTGAGTGTGGTCATAGATTAATTCCCTGGCGGTACCAACACTTGGATTGGTTTCAGAAAGTATTCTACTACAATACTCCTTTTTTCATACTATAAAACATTTGAAATACACGAAAGTGCGCCAATGTTCAAATGAGCAGTTCCTGAAGGAGCACGGTCAAGATTCGGGTGGGAGTGGTAGAAGTTCAATTCCATCCAAGTTCCACCACTTCGATTTTAGTTCAGAAAATAGACTCCTGCAATTTTTCATAGTAATAAACATTTTTAACTTAAGAAAATGTGCCAAAGTTGAGTGGTAGCCTGAAGCAGGGAGGTCAGGACTGAAGGGGTAGTATCTCAATTCCTTCCTAGTGTCACGCCTGTATTTTGTTAGGAACTTGTTTCTATTCTACTTTTTTAATTCTGTAAACGTACAAAACGGTTTTCAGGAGTGGGTATTGCTCGAAAGAGATAGTAGCCTGAAGGAGGAAGGTCATTAATGAGGTGGGTGTGGTAGGAAGTTCAATTCTTTCCAGGTGTTTTTTTGTTTTTTCTTGAAAACCCAATTTCAATTTTTATTCTGATTTATGTTTCATGTAATGTTTCAAACGTTTTCGTGTTAAGTAAGTGGGACATTTCGGAAAAGGCTTCTGAACGAGCAGCGTCAAGTTGATATGGTAAACGTACTTTTCCCTGGCGGTGCCACTTTTCAGTTTCTGAAATGAAAAGTCTTCTATTACAGTCTTTTCTTCTTTTAAGTGTATTCTTTCTTTCGCTTAAAGAAGAGGTCCTTACACGGAAGGCATAGTAGCCTGAAGGATCAAGGTCAAGTCTGACAATTTTGAACGAACAGGTCTTATACTCATTTTCATATTTATTTTCTTTAAATGTACGAATAGATTGGATTGATGGAACTCATAAAAGGTGGTCACTTCAAAGAGCAAGCTCATAAAAAGTAGTCGTTTCAAGGAGTAAGCTCAGGACTGGGGTTGTTGCTGTAGATTTTATCCATTTCTGCAAGTTTTTGTTTTGTTATGTAGTGGTTGGAACGTTCTCCCTATTTACCAAAGATAAGAATCGCCTCATCAAAACCTCATACAGTTCCAGTTGTTTGAAATAGACCTCATAACTGTCAAAACTTGACTATGCTCTTTTTGCCCCAGTAGAGGTGACTGATCTCGGTCTATCAACTGCTGCAGGTTGACAATCCATTTGAAGACTGTGAATCCGACATCCTTCCAGGTCCCTACGTCCATCTCGCCTGTACATTTTGTGTATGTAACCATTAACATTAACTTCACTAATTTCGTGGTCCGCTTAACCAACTAATATATTTCAATTAATTACTAAAGCTCTCCGTGGCCATTTCATTTGTCGTCGAGAATCCAATCCGATTACACGACATTTGAAAAATGGCAAAAAGGAGGGAAAATTCAAAAGGTGGGGTTGAGATGGGAAGTTGGTGTCCGAGTGGATCGAGGTAGCTCAAGTGGTAGAGCAACGGCGTATCTAGCCGAAGATCATGGGTTCGAATCCCGCTCGTGACATTGACTTTTTTATCTCAACTAAAAACCTTAATTAATTTAAATTAACATTAACCTTGACAAATATAATTTTTAGAGAGTTTGTTGACACCCTCAATATGATCATATCACGTTACCCCTTTTGCAGGCTGAACGCTAACGGTAAAACTATTCAATAGTAAAGGATTAAACTATTTTCATCAAGATTTGAAGACAGATTGAGAAAAGAAATTTATAAACATTAAAAAATTGAACACTTTCAATTATTTTTGTTCATCTTGATCATGTACTCAAATGTGCTAAAGATTTTGCTCGGAGGTCGTTGCTCAGACGATAATTTTTCACTCGCATTCATCATTAGTACATTTCATTGTCCGACCTCCATCCGTTCAACGTACTAGACAAGCACGATTCAGAATACCTAATTGATCGATGCCTCAACAGCCTTTGTTTCAAGATATAAATAAATACGACTGAACATTTAACTTTTAACTTAACCCATTTGTGAACAAATAAAACACTGAGATGGACCTGTTCACCCTCGGTTTAGAAATATTGGTGGCAATCTGCAAGAATTATGATTACGATCATGATTTCTTGCTGGTACGAGGTGTCTTCTCGCCATAAACCAGTCGACTAAGTTTTCATTCTTCTCCCACGCCTTTACTCAATATATTTTCCTTATCCAATTGAGATGTCCGATTCCTGTTGCAATAAATCAATTAAATAAGTTAGAATAATGAAGCTTTTAATCCTGTTTTCTGAAATCCTAAATCTGTTGTTAAGGGGGACCGTTATATTCGTCCTTGGTAATTAATTAGTTGGTGAAGTCAAAAACCCATTAGTGTAACGTGCAATTCACCTTTTTAAAGAAGCCTTTTCCATTGGGCTGCACCCGGAAATGATAGGATTTTGTCAACCAGAGAGGACTGAGAACAGTTACGTGTCCAAATTGACCGCTTGTCGCTTCTGCGACTTCTGGAAAGAAAGAATAGATTACGCTGTTTTAAACTTTTGCGGCCGATAGTGCAACGCTTTCTCGGATAAATTTGATATTTTATTGTAAACACGCTTTTTTAATAAAATTAAGTTTTGGATGTGCCCATTCTATGTCAAAAAAAAAACTTTAACACTTACTTCAATTGCAAATTATTTTTTAGAAAAAGCAAGATCAAGGTGTCGTCAGAGGCGATGAACCATCTTTGATGGTTGATCAGGGTTATAAGCAGGGTAAGGCATTGACTACTAGACTGCATTTATGAAAATTTCCTGTGACAAATAACCCAGGTAAAAGATATTTGCCTTTTTGCTCAAGGACTTCTTAATTGGTTTGTCAGGGTTATAAACAGGGTGAGGCGAGGACTCTACTTTTCATTTTTGCGAATTTCTTCTGGGTCAAAAACACACATACAGAAACATTAGGCATTTGCTAATATTTTACAATTATGAGTTTAGTTTGATTGTCCCGGACCAAATAAGATTTGAATGTTGTCTTATTCACTGAATGGTCAGGATTCATGGCACTATGTCAAAACATTTAATACTTACTTCAATTGCAAATTATTTCTTAAAAAAGCAAGATCTGGTGTCGTAAAAGGTGATGAATCTGTCGTCTAGTATTCCGGCTCTATCTGTAAAGTGCGTTTCGGCATGTCGCCATCTTTAGTAGTAGATCAGGGTTATAAGCAGGTGAGGTACGGGTTCTATTTGCATTTATGAGAATTTCGTCTTGGTCAAAGAACACACAAACAGAAATATTAGTCTTTTTGCTAAAAGTTAAGTTTTACAATTTCAGTTACAGATCTCCCCGACCATCCAGAGGCTGCAGCTTGCCATCGTCCCTGGTTGGTCAGAATTATAAGCAGGGTGTGACGAGAGACCTACTTTGCATTTATGAGATTTTGCTTATGTCAAATAACACACGGTCAGATGATGATGATGACAATGCTGTCACCGATCCCTTAAATTTATTCCAAATGCAAATTCTTCCTTCGTTAATAACACAATCAGAAATGTCATTTTCCTCGAAGATGGATTTTACAATGGTTAGTTTAGTTGAATCTTCCCAGACCATCTGCTTTCCCCAACTTCACTGATTGGGGCGTAATAAGCTGGCGAATGCTTGGCACCAACTTCTAATTTTAATTCAAAATGCAAATATTTGGATTTTGGATCGGTTCGTTGGTCTGTGAGACGCGTTTCGGCATTTCGCCATCTTCAGTGTTAGGTCTGGGTTATAAGCAGGGTGATTCATGGCACCGACTCTTGTTTCCAACTGCTTACAAACCCAGTATGTGATAAATGCAGTAATAGTTAAAAAGTCATGAAACTTGTCTATTTATTAACTATTATCACGGTTAAGTGGTTAGACCGACATTTTAATTTATTTGATATGTTTTAATTAGGTTTTATGTATGTTTTTAAAACGTCAAAAAGTTTTAATTGCTTTTATATGATACAGTTCTTTAAATTAAACCATTTTGGAGGAGTACACAAACGACCAAAAAAAAGACCAAAAGGTCTTTATTAAGCAAGTAACGGAAGCGTCACTAACGGCATTGTCGTCCTGGATTTATCGTTACCGATGAGATCGTCTCACGTCTGTTTTGTTTGTCCGAGCCGTTCCGATTGAACGGGGGCTATTTTTTCCTAGACCGCACAAGGCATTTTTTTTTCTTTTGCATATTCATAAATAGGTCACGTTTTCATTATGTGACAAATGCAGTCGATCCCCAGGTCTAGGGACGCGCAGATCGTTGAGTGTTTTTGTATTAAACGCCTCCGACAATGGATCGTTTTATAAGGTTTGTAGGTGTAGATTGTATGTACATAACAAAAAGGTTTTGTTTTTAGTGTTTAAAGTTACTTCCATTACAAACATGGCGCGACGTCGGGGTTATAAAAAGGGCGAGGCGAGTCGCTGACGCTTGTACTTAATGTGAATTTAACCAAACATAAAACCCAAACTATGAACAAGAGTTGAATAAAATTGGATATTTTGCTTTTTTAAACTTTAATTGTTCAAGCTAACTATAAAGCTCAAAGCAAAAGTGTCTTTCAACCAATAGCTTACTTGTGTAAGGTTTTCTTTTAGAAAATGTACCTTTTCCTTGTAACATCTTGTCATTTGCCAGTTTGTGCTCTTTTCGGCTGACAAATTGTGACCATGCAACTTGAAAATTTGAACCTCAATCGATGCCTTCAATCTCAAAATAATTGACCATCGACAACCGAATAGAGGAAAGAAGAAGAAAGACTGTACCAGAAGAAAGTACCAATTCGATAATGAATCATAACTGCAGAAAAAAAAACTTAATTATAATATGCGCGTTCACTGTTTAATTGTATAACATCATTGTTTTCGGCAAATTAAATGTAAACTACATAAAATTGATAAGACCAAAAGTTATAACATAATGGCGTTGTTTTGGTGCGGTTGAAACCGTTTTCGACCTATTATTAGTGGAGACAGTTGTCAGAATGCGGTGAACCACGGAGCTGAGACATATACAACATTCTTTTGACCGTAGAAATAAGAAAGCATCGTACGGATATTTAGTAATAAGAACATTTTGAACTGTTTAAATGTAAATTATTGAATGGCGTTAGTAAAATAAAGTTGTATTGAGTGTTAAAAAACCAAGTCTAACCTGGCCAGAAGGTTGAAAAATTGTCCGCGTTTAAAAAAAATTGAAAATATATCAATTGCATCGTACAGCCTCGCTGGTGATAAACTTGCAGCTTGACCGTCAGGTAGGTCAGGGTTATAAGCAGGCTAAGACAATGCACCACTCCTCCTTTTATTTAAATTTCGCCTACGGCACATAATTATCTGATTTATCTTCGAGTCGTCTTTGATGCGTACGACAGTCAAAACCATCAATTAGGCTGTAGGTTAGTCATCTCGCAGACCTCAACACTATATTTCATAAAATGCAAATACCTGACAAGCACTTAAAAACGGTTGCCAACAGCTGCAATTTCATAGATGACACGATGGCCTCAGCAATAAATAACAAGTTTCTGGTGCTAGATCCAGCCTTTTCATTTTTTTTCGTTAAATATATGAACTAATGAAAAAATAATTTGGCAAGAAATTTAATATCGTATATGATAATGTTGACAATAGTTAAGACAAATTTTAAATTTATATTGCCCCTAGCATTTAATGTTTGTATATTGTTTTTAAATTAAAACATTGCTAGAAACAATTAAAAAAACGTTATATAAGAAAAGTTGTCAAAAAATAAACGATTAGCCACACCGTGATCGTGGGAAGGAGATTGAAGTCAAGATTCGATTCTCCTCTCATCAACTTTCCTGGAGAGTACGGTTCGTACTCAATCGTCTTTTTTTTAGCCTCCATTCGTCAAGGGTAATTTTACAAACCAAACAATAAATATATATCACTGAATGGGCCTATTGAATCAAAGTTGAAATGAACGAGGTCGTGCCAGTTCGTTATATACTTCAAAAATAACATTTTCGGAAAACTTGTCCAAAACAAAAACTGTTTTGTTTTATAACAATAGGATTTGTTGATGTTTATAAAACAATTATTGCAAACGAGGTATTTTTATTGTTGGGGTTTTCGGGGTGATGAACTTGTGCTGAAGCTTCATCTTTCCAGATCATTTTGTCTTTTGATCCTGTCAGATTTGAACTTTCAGCCGCCATCTTTAGAAGGTGTCAGGGTAATAAGCGGGGAGAGGCATTGCACCTACAGATCCATCCATCGACGAGAGTAGTTTACTTCTCTTTGGGGTCGTCTGACAAGACAGCTCTTCTAAGGATCGAAAGCATTAGACAAAGACAAAATTAGAACGAACGGAAAAAATCGATTTTTTGCCACATCCTGCTTATATCCCCGACCAACGACTAAGATTTGGCGAAATGCCGAATCGTGACTATCCGACAGAACCATAGAGGCCATCTCACAACAAGATTTTCACTATCTATGAAAATTTTAACCAACGTCTTATGATTTTTTTCGAGATTCGGTGTACTTTTTGGATGGACTTTACCATCGAAGGTTGAATATCAATGAAGCCATAGAAAACAGAGTACATCCTCATGTTAGTATACTAGTACTAGTATACTTTCATTATATGTAAATGATAATATTAATTTAATATAATTTATACAGTTAATTAAGGTTTTTAGTTGAGATAAAAAAGTCAATGGCACGAGCGAGATTCGAACCCACGACCTTCGGCTAGATGCGCTGCTGCTCTACCACTTGAGCTACCTCGATCCACTCGGACACCAACTTCCCATCTCAACCCCACCTTTTGAGTTTTCCCTCCTTTTTGGGGATTTCCACCCTTGACTTTTTTATCTCAACTAAAAGCCTTAATTAATTGTAACATATTAATTGGTCAAGCGGACCACGAAATTAGTGAATTTAATAATTTATACATTTGTCACTCTAAAATTATTTCTGTATAGGAAAGGTTATGCTTGCAATGTAAACGTAAAGCTTCCCAAATAAAATAAAGTTAAAATCAGTTCGAACTAAACGCTTCATCGATTTCAACCTTTAATTGTCTTATTACTTTCATAAAAACAATTCATCTAAGTAAAGTCTCGGTTATAAGCAGGGAAAGGCAAGGCACAGATCCAGCGATGGATAGAAGATCTGTCGTATTCTTGTTGGGTTTCGCTGAGGACTCGATAACTCTCCTAAAGATCGATTGTAAAGGATAAAGATAACATTCGCATGAACGAAAGAAATCGGTTCCTTGCCCCACCCTGCTTATATCCCTGCGCAACTACTAAGATTAGGCGAAAAGCCGAAACGCCCTTGACAGGCAGTACCAATATCGAAACATGTTCACTTCTCAAAACATCACGTGTTCACAATCTGTGAAAATTTCCCACTGTCTTATCAATACGTGTAAATTAAAAAAGGGATCTTTCTAGGTATCGTCAGGGTTATAAGCAGGGAAAGACAAAGCACCAGCACCGACAAATCGACGAGTGTTGTCTTATTCTAGTGTGATTTGCTTCAGAACAAGAAAAATCTCCTGAAGTTGCATCTCATTGTACAAAGGCAACATTCGCACGAACGGAATGAATTCGGAACCTTGACCCACCCTGCTTATAACCTTAACCAACTCTATGGTTTGATGAAATGCCCCAACTCATCTCATAAAACCAGGATGATGAAGACAAGTTGATCACCTACAGAACACCAATATTCACAATATATGAATATTTTACCATTGTGTCATCAATATGTTGTCAATGTTTAAATCATACAGTTGATCCATCTTTACGGGTTTTAGGGTTTTTTTAAGAGTTTTAAGCAGGAAAGGCAGGCAGCGGCAGATCGAGCAATAAAAGTCATTGGGTTTATCTTTAAGACAAAATTAATTTTAATCACATTGGACAAAAGACGACATTCGCACGAACAGAAGAATTCGATGCATTGCCCCACCCCGCTTATAACCCTGATCAACCATTAAAGTTTGGCGAAATGCCGCGTCTCACAGAACCAATAAGATCTCTCTGACTATCACAATTTATAGAAATTTTATCAATATCTTATCAATAAGATAAAATAAAACAATTGATCTATCTTGCTAACATTAGGATTTTATTAAACCGAATTTGAATCGTCGGGATGATAAAACGAAAAATAAACAGATATAGCCGTTCAATTTTCGTCGGTATTAATGCATCGCTGATTATTCAAAACAAACTATGTTATGTTTTGTAAGAAAACAATTACGGTAAACAATATATTTTTATTGTAATATTTCGTGTAGAGTTCTGAGGCGTGATGAACTTTCAATTTTTCAGTCGTTGTTTGCTTATCCTCGCTGTTTTGGTCTTTCCTGCACCTTCCGCCATCTTCTGTCGTGTGTAAGGGTTATAAGCGGGGAGAGGCAGGGTACCGATACTTCCGTTTAGGCGAAGTTGTATTAAACAAATCCATCAGTGAAGATGACAAAATGAGAAAACGCGTCTAACAGACCAAATTGCAAAAAATAAGCCTACTACGATGATTGAAAACGACCGAACTATGTTTATGGTTTGGTAATAATCTTAATAATAAATCTTTAGGAGAGGTATCGAGTCCTCAGCGAAACCCAGCAAGAATACGACAGCTTCTATCCATCGCTGGATCTGTGCCTTGCCTTTCCCTGCTTATAACCGAGACTTTACTTAGATGAACTGTTTTTATGAAAGTAGTAAGACAATTAAAGGTTGAAATCGATGAAGCGTTTAGTTCCAACTGATTTTAACTTTATTTTATTTGTGAAGCTTTACGTTTACATTGCAAGCATAGCCTTTTCCTATACAGAAATAATTTTAGAGTGACAAATGTATAAATTATTAAATTCACTAATTTCGTGGTCCGCTTGACCAATTAATATATTAGAATTAATTAAGGTTTTTAGTTGAGATAAAAAAGTCAATGGCACGAGCGGGATTCGAACCCACGATTTTCGGCTTGATACGCCGCTGCTCTACCACTTGAGCTCTCGTGACCTCGATCCACTCGGACACCCAACTTCCCATCTCAAGCCGAAGATCGTGGGTTCGAATCCCGCTCGTGCCATTGACTTTTTTATCTCAACTAAAAACCTTAATTAATTGTAATAAATAAACATAGTTGAACTAACTTCCTACCTTCTTGCATCTCAAATGCATCAACATTATATAGGACAGCTATATTTAAAAAGAAAATTTTACAGTTGGAAATTAATAATATAGTACAATATTCTTTTCAATTAATTAATATTTAATTAAGATTTTGGTTAAGATAAAAAAGTCAGTTTCACAAGCGGGATTCGAACCTACGACCTTCGGCTAAATACGCTGCTACTCTACCACTTGAGCTATCGTGACTTAGATCCATTCGGCGTATTTAGCCGAAGGTCGTGGGTTCGAATCCCGCTTGTGACACTGATTTTTTTATCTCAACCAAAACCTTAATTAAATATTAATTAATTGAAAAGAATTCATTTGGTCAAGCGGACCACGAAATCTAATTAAATGTAATAGTACAACATATTAGTCATGTATAAGCTTTATTGTATAGTTTCTTCTTTTTCTTCTATACATGAAAGTTTATTAATAGGAAGGAAGGAAATATCTGGAGCCTGATGTTGCCTTGATCGATCTGATCTGGGCGCGAACACCCTTGACTCATTTTAATAAAACTCTAGATCAGAGAGTCATGGCGTGAAATCGGCCGATTCTCTACGATATTGAGTGCAGCCAGGACCTCTTTACCGGCATAAAAAGTATTTCCCGATATCATAACGGCTGAAATAAATCGGTAATAGTTGTGTAATAAGTCGGACGACCACAAAGGACTTTCTCTCGACGTCTTCCCCCGACCCGTTTTAAAAGGAAAAGACCGACCGGGACTGAAACAGCCCGTCAGTGTCGATATAGGGTAAAAAAAGATAGAAAAAATGGTCTACCAGGCCAACGTTGTTTCATGAATATCAGTGACCAACATGAACGCACATTATCGGTAAACATAAGCGCCTTGTCAACTAGCAGAACTATGTCGTTTAATAAAAATATAAATCTGCCAAAAAAAAATCTTTACAACTAACATAAATCATCATCAACGCTTTGATTCAATTTTACATTTACTTCAATTTAGATTTTTTTAAAAATAATATGATAAAAACCCAGGAAATTTAATAGGTGACGTTTACCTACAAAACTGAATTAAATGGCGAATTTAAAGTTTAAATCTTGTGATGATCTATTGGAGAGGGTAACATCCCATTTTGAGAAGTCTACTTCTCTCCTTAAATATCCAGCATACCACTCCTCAAGAAGATTCCCCTATAAATAATAGCATGTACCCAAACATCCTTCAAACAAATTGGTGGCAGCGTGGTGTCACTGGACATTTTAAAACATTTAAAAAAGCGACAGTAGTAAAAACACTTAAATACTCCCATGAATGAATGAAAAACTGTTATATTAAAGTATAAACCAAAATACAATAGAGAAAAGAATAACATAACAGTGAATAGACAATGGATCGAAAAATCCATCTGCATTAGGTAGGTCACCATGTTAAAACAATGAAAATTCTGTGTGCATTTAGATTAAAAAAATGTATTACTGCAGTAATAAAATCAAAAATTAAATGCTTCTGTCAGCTCATATCTGTAGTCGCAAGCCTGCCTCCAAAAAACCAGAAGTTCACCCTTGACAGAGTGAAGCAAGCGGATCTCACCCGGAATTGAACTTGAATTGATTCAAGGGCATGCGAATTGCAAAGCAAATAGAAGCTGTGCTCACCCCCATTCCACATTGCCGAGTTCAGCTGAAGAAACTCGCAGCGCATTTTAAAAAGCCAACACAGCAATAAAGGAGTAACCTTTAAAATTGGACTTCTTCACACCGAACAATGCAGGAGAGGTTCGAAGCATTTGATCATACCAGTGTGTAAAGCTAAGCAAAAAACAATCTATACTACATCTCCTAGCAGTTGGTGGATCCACATGACATCTACAAACACTTTGGCAACAAACAACCATACATCTCAACACAGCTGGTGCAAATGTTAAAAACACTCAAATATCTCCATGCAGTTTGTGGTCAGTTAGTGAGCACAACATATCTTCATGCAATTGGTGGTTGGTGGGTCCTCCAGACATCTTCAAACTCTTTGGCGAGTGGTAACAATGAGAACCTGGTGGAAATGGTAAAAGTATCCCCATGCAGTATGTGGCCATGGTAGTGATCATAAGACATTTCCATGCAGTTGGTGGGTCCACATGACATCTATAAACACTTCGGCAACAAATGGGACAAACAATCATACATCACAATACAGCTGGTGGAAATGGTGAAAACACCCAAAATCTCCATGCGGTCTGTGGCCTTGGTCATGATCATAGGACATCTACATGCAGTTGGTAGGTTTACATGACATATATTGACTTTGGCAATAAATGATAACAATGGCAATAATTCACTGTAAAACTGGTGGAAATGGTAAAAACTCCCAAAATCTCCATCTCGTTTTTGGCCATGGTAGTGATCATAAGACAACTCCATGCATTAGGTAGATCCACAGGATGTCTACAAACACTTGTATAAAAAATGTAACAACTGCCGTACATCACCATACACCTGGTGGAATCGGTGAAAACATCGAATTATCTCCTCCTAATGGTGTCAAGCCTTGCACAACAAAAATGCAAAATGAAAACAGCTCCATGGTACTTTGAGACAACACAGATTTAATTATCACTATATACATTACTTTAGCAATATTTTTGTGACATATAAACCTAGTAAACATACACATAGAAGAACAAACAATTTCACACGGGCAAAATGAATTATCAAGTAATATAACGTATAAATCAACAGGATGCATATAATTTATTTATTATATATAATAATACATTTGTACTTTAAAAAAGTGTTATAGTTTTGTTGTTAGTGATTTTTAGTCTATCTATCTTTTTCCTTGATGGTTAAAACAAACAAAAAACTATTGTGTAAGATATGCACATAGTAATAATTTCATTTGATATGTTTGTTACTTTTGTGATATATTTTGTTCTGATAGTGAATTGTCTTTCAATAAATGAAATATTAGGCATTCACTTTAAACAAACTAACTTTTAATGAGTAAGTTAAATATATAATTATATTCAATTTAAAAAAAATATAAAAAATAAAAGGAGTATTGAATTTGGAACACTGCTTCGTGTTCATGTGGGTTGCCACTCAACTCGCTAACAGTCAATTAACCAAATCAGATGAGGGTATTGTAAAATTAATAGCTTTCTCCTTTTTTTTTGCAGAGTTTCGGAAGCAGATATGCGACGAAACCACAAGGCGTTCAACTATGGGGATCGCACCAGCCGAGGGAGCAACACATCTCTTGCACCCTTCCAACAATCCTTGTGCTCGTCCTCGTCATCCTCGGCGTCCTCGCTATCGCAGGACTCGCCATATACATGGCGGGTAAGAAATTATGGACATATCATCCACCTATTATTAAAGTTTTCATAAAAGCTATTATTTTGAAATACATAAGAAAATAGGCTATTTTGCCATTTTTAAACCTTGCATCATAGGAAGATAAAGAGGCTTTATAGATATTAATTAATTAATTTCAATGCTAAAAGAAAAAAAGTGTATAAATAGATTATACTTTTTTGTCTAAGGCCTTGGTTAAGACGAAAAACCTAGCGTCAAAAGCATGAGTGTTACTTTGTTTGCTTGTTCACACTGGCTTTACCTGTCAGTTTGGTTTGGTTAGTTAGGGATATAAGCAGGGTTAGGTGAGAATTTTCATAAATGAAAGGAGTGCCTTGTCTCACTCTGCTTTCATCCCAGAACCATTAGTGATGATGTGAATTATGACTGATAGGTTATACAAAAGATCTATAATTATGATAATGATTGTACTTTTTTTTCCAGCGCTTCGTTTAGAGCCTGTTCAATGTAAGTTATAAAACTTGGGGTAAATTAGGGGTTATAAATCCATGCGAATATATAATTTTGTTTTATTTTTGTGTTTAGCATACTTAGTTTTTGATGGAAGTATGAGGGTATTGGGAGATAGGTATAATAATAATTTAGCAAATAAAACAAGCAGTTTCTATGCAGAAAAATCCAAGAAATACCAAACTCTGGTAGGTATAATCCCGAAAGAAGTGGTACATTTATAACAGAGGACAATCATCAGGATAATTACTTTCTAGCTTGAAGCTGTATACGCAGCAAGCCTTTTAGGCGCTTCTGTACAGGAAATAATTGTTAACAGTTTTGCCAACGGAAGTCTCATTATTTTCTTTAGAGTTATACTCAATAGAAAGTTTATTCCCAAGTAGGTGAACTAGATCAAAAAGTGGAGTATACGAAATTTGGAATTTTAACAGGGTAAACTTTTCAGGCCAGTAAGTAGTATTGAAGATACTTTAAAAACTGTGATATTACAAGAAGCTTCATCGCCTTTAAGTGTTTTAAATGAACTTAAAATTGATCCTAAAGAATTAATAATTAAAAGTAAGTTATGTGACCCTTATACATGATATTTCTACTTGCACCACTAGACAATCGCACATCGATAAATCTATTTCTTTATATTTTTGTATTTCTATCCTACTTTTTTCTTTTAAACATGGGTTATTAGAGTGAAATGATTACATCTAATATTGGTATTTGTTGTAGATAGAGGTTATTTTTCGGGTATTTTTAATTTAAAAGCATGTCTACTTATTTCTATGCAAATTATTTGTACATATACATTTGTTAATTAATATATTTATGGCAAAAATTGACACAGTTTTCATTTTTTAGGAGTTCTCGACCAACCAAAGCCTTTTGTGATGAATGAAGACTTCAGCTTGAACCGGCCCTTAGCGAAAAAAATTCTCGAGAAAAGCTCTGCCCCAGAATTAAAAATAAGTCGTGCTCCAGTTACAACTGAAACAAACTGGCCAACAGTGACTGGAGATGCGAATGTCAAGACACTCCCTAGTCATATGATTCAAGGTACATACACTGTAACAAGCAACGAGCCCAAATTAAAGAAGAAAGATGATATGTCTGTTGTAACTCCTTCATTGACTCTCACGACGAAAAAATTGAGATCGACTACTGAAACCCCTGACATTCGTTTTGGTATGCGCCACAGCCCGGCTTTGAAACAATATCTACAGCACAGCAGTGAAAAAGAATCAACAACAAAACCAACAACCGTAAGACCAACTACCTCCAAACCGACGACAAAAATTATTAAAGAAGCTGTAAAGCCCAGTACACATTTCTCTGATGAACCATGGATGCCTATGATGCCGAATGAAGAAAAAAGAAACTTTCGTGAGACAGTGGATTTCGACTATGGCGTCGGAGAGGCTGAAGTAATAGAAACAGCAGACCCCTCAAGTAAACATCCTTCAATACCACGGATGAAGAACAAGCCACATTCAATACCCGCTATAATAGAAGAAGTTCAAATCTCAAAATCTCCAACCGAAGAGCCCAAAACAACCCCTCGTATTGAAAAAGTCAATAAACCTAAAATAGTTTTCAGATCCGATTTGATGTCTGAACAGAAATCCATGCCAGAACTTTCAATACTACAACAATTCCATGATCTCGATACTCTTTTAAGGAATTATAATACCAAGAAACCAACGACGGTGAAACCGCCAGATGTGAAAACACCAGAAATTGATAAATTATCACCATCGCAACCATCAGTTGTCACCCTTCTTCCGGTCAGGTCTAATGTTGGTGTAGGAGGACCGTTAAGACCACGGCCCAAATTAACCACCACGCCAACAATGAAAGTGCTAACAACTCCAGAAAGTACAGATACAAAGGCTGAGCTTTCAATTTCTAATCCTCTACATTCAACAACAAGAGAAACAATGCCGACAAATAAACAACCTTCAGAGAAAATATTTATTGATCAAAATTCGGACTTGGTAGCCATACCCTTACAAAAATACTTTGCAACAACTAAACCAATTCTGCACACAACAAATCATACAACCCATGAAAATATTACATCTCACAAACCAAAACCAACAAGCAAGTCCATGTCATATGTAACTGAAAATTTGAAAGAAATTGCTATAGTAACAACTAACGATGATGATATAGCATCAAAGAGAGAGATAAGGCAAAGTTCTAAACAGGGTCATAACAGGAAAGCAAAAATGCCAGCATTTTTTCGACCAAATAGAGAAAATCTAGAAAATGAAATGAAACTGGATATTGAAGAAATTTTCCAAAATTTAACAACCACTTCAAGATCGGTTAGCGACAAAAACAATTCAAAAGAAGCCAGCTTTCAGAAAATAGATTTCACCATGCCGAATTCTTCCTTCAACAATCCTTTCAACTTGAACAAAACGCAGTTTCTTTTGAATAAACTGGCTAAACTGCAGATTGCGAGCAACGAGAGCCGAAACAACACAAAGTATAATAGGGACAAAGTTTCAAACAAAGCTGTCGCAACGAGTCATGCTGGAAATGTTCCATTCCGTCTTTTAACGAAGGTTTTCAACAAGTCACAAACAATGCCAAAGCCTGATACAAGCACTTCTGAAAAGACACTGTTTGAATCGACAGGTAATTAATTAATTTTAATTTATCTCTCTTAAAACACAGTACACATTTTTGGTTTTTGTAGGCTGCATCCAAAACAACACTTTTCTATGTGGGTCTGGTGAATGTCTTCCAAACCATTTGAAATGCAATAAGCTCATGGACTGCAGGGACGGTTCTGATGAAAAAAATTGCACCTGTGCAGATTTTTTAAGAAATCAGTATCACACGAGAAAAATATGCGATGGAATTTATGACTGTTGGGATTATTCTGACGAGCAAGGATGTGGTAAGAAAATTAAATATTCAAGCTTTCAGGATAATAAAATAATCTGACTAGAATTACATATAAACCAATTTTTATTGGAAATGTGTAACTAAGTAGTACAATAGACATGTTAAATTTTCTAGACTGGTGCTCCCCCGGTCAACATATGTGTGCTAATTCAAGAATGTGCATTGACCCAAGCCAAGTGTGTGACGGTTTTCCTCAATGCCCTTATGGTGATGACGAGAAAAACTGCATCACCGTCGCCCAGTCACTTGAGACTGCCAATAACAAGGACTACTACCCGAATGGCTACCTGATGGTCAAAAAGGAGGGCGAATGGGGTAAAATGTGCCTACAAAATTTTGACAATGTGATATCCAAGTCGAAAACGGACTGGAGCCTCCAAGATCTGGGACAGTCCGTTTGCAAGACACTTTCCTATAAAAATTTCGATGGGATTACAAGGCAGAAAGATGTCACACCGAGGAATATGGCCAAAGCACCCGTATATTACGAGCTGGCTTTATCCAACGACAGAAATGACTCTTACAACAGCAAAAGATCAGCAAGGTAAAAAGCTGCATGTTTTTTACGATTTTGTTGTTTACCTGGTATTACATATCTCCAATAATTAATAAAAAGTTTTTTTAGAGAGAAATTCGCTTTTCAAAAAACCACTTGTATTGAAAAAGAAGTGGCCCAGGTTGCTTGCAGTAATCTAGAATGTGGAATTAGACCGGAAGCAAACATCCCTTGGACAAAGTAAATTAAATTTACTAAGGCTATAGATTCTTAATTTCATTTTAATGAGTTTTTTTTTTCAAGTGAAAGAAGGTCAAGAATCGTCGGAGGAGGAAACGCTGGTCCTGGATCATGGCCATGGCAAGCCGCTCTTTACAAAGAGGGCGAATTTCAATGCGGGGCAACCCTAATATCTGAAACTTGGTTACTTTCTGCAGGGCACTGTTTTTACAAGTAAATAAATAATCTAAATTTATTTCCAAATCTATTAAAACATGATAAATTAATAAAATTGTATTTAAGTGCTCAAAATGATTACTGGGTAGCAAGGATGGGAGCATTGAGAAGAGAGACACCTCCCGCTCCTTACGAGCAGCTCAGGCCAATAACAAAAGTCGTACTCCATCCGGAGTACGAAGACCAAGGGTTTATCAACGACATATCGCTACTTCGTATGAATGAGCCTATTGTATTAACAAGTTTTGTCCGGCCTATTTGCCTTCCTGAAGAAAACAAAGAACCTCGAGATGGTGCTATGTGCACTGTCGTAGGCTGGGGCCAGCTCTATGAAATCGGAAGGGTTTTTCGTAAGTAATACAAAAATCTATCATTATATATCTTGTTTTTTTATTTTAAAATGATTTTCAGCGGACACCCTTCAAGAGGTTCAACTCCCAGTTATTTCAACAGCGGAATGTAGGAAGCGTACTATTTTTCTACCACTGTATAAGGTCACAGATAATATGTTCTGCGCTGGATATGAAAGAGGAGGGAGAGATGCCTGCTTGGGAGATTCTGGAGGCCCTCTTATGTGTCAGGTATACTCAAAATAATCAGAGTACAAGAATATTTTAAATTTTAATGTCAAGCAATTGTTTAATTGCATTTTAATTCAAAATCAAGACAGACAGCACATTTACAAAAAAAACCCTGTAAATTCATGAAGTTTTTCTTTTATATAATTTATCTTTAAATAGAGATGACCTATTATCCTACCTTGAAGAAGGAAGAATCATAAGATTAACTGTTGAGGTCAAAATATAAGAAAACATCTTTAAATAGATTTAACGCGTTTTACTTATTTTCTTTTACCTTGTACACATATTCAATTCATTTTCAGGAAAGTGATGGCAGGTGGACATTGACAGGAGTTACGAGTAACGGATACGGTTGTGCAAGAGCGAACCGTCCAGGTGTTTATACTAAGGTAGTCAACTACCTACCCTGGGTTAGAGAGACACTACTCATCATCGATGAGATATCTTCCCCTCCTGTTTGCCATGGTCATAGATGTCCGCTTGGCGAATGCCTTCCACCTGCGAGACTATGCAATGGCTACATTGAATGTCGTGACAGCAGTGATGAATCTGGGTGTTGGTAGCCCAGACTTTATCGTATTTATCATTTATTTATTGACCTAGAGGTTTTAAGTATATTGTTCTGTGATCTTCTTAAAAGAAAAGTGTTTTATTTTTCTTCTTTTTTGTTTTGAAGCTTTGTTTTTGCGATTTGGACAGGGACAGGAACACCTGTCCAACTTGCAACTTTGCTTCATTTTATACGATAACGGTACTTTTCCTGTTTATCGCAATTTTGTACATTTTAGTTTTTTATTTATCATCATTGTTGTAAATTTGACTTTTTATTTATCTTTTTTTCAGAAATTTATATTACCTGTACATAAATGGTTTATAAAAAATTCTGTTATGCAAAATTATTTTCTAAATTTTTATAGGAAATAATAAAATCATTATAATAACTTATAAACCATTAATTATCATTTACCTTAAACAAAATATTTCCCCTCCTTCTTAGACTAATTAACAGAAAATTTTTAATTTTTAATGTTAATTTGTTTAATGGTTTTTTAATTTATACAAGTTCATGGTGATTTTTCCCCCGTCAAATTTTATAAAAAGTGCTGTACAATCCAAACTGCGACAAGGAATATAACTTGCTAAGTACCCATATGAGGCCATTAGATATCAGAATGAATGAGATACTGACTTTGAGGAGAGCAATTATGCAGAAAGTATGTAATCGAGCAAGGAACCATGAATACTCTCCTTCCCCGTATGTGTTAACATGGTGAAATACCCTTGTATTTACAGAGCTAAATGCCTGTCCCTCACATAAGAATATTGTAAAGCCACTGTTACATATACAGATGGTTTGAGGTCAGTGAAAGGGTTGCTGTACTGTGAGGGTCACACCATAAAAATCCCACTCCCCAGGAACAGCTAGCTTTCTTATTACAGAGTTGACCACCATACTGTCAGCGATGAGCAAGATGAGCAAGATTGGCAGATCCAACCATAGTCGTCTGCATGGACTCGCTCAGTGCAGTCTTGGCCATCCATATCTGCTCTATGAACCCGCTAATCTTGGCAATACGAAAGGAAATTAATTAAAGAAAGAAAACATTGCCTGTATTCCAGGCCACGATCGAATAAAAGGCAATGAAAAACTAGGTCAAGCAGCAATTATGCCACATGACCCGGTGACTCCTGTGAACCCAGCGGATGACAAAAATTAATTTAAAAATTTATTCCCATTATATTTTGTGGTCTGAGTATTGGATGAGATAAAAAAGTCAGTCATGAGTGAAGGTAGCTGAAGGTCGGTTCGAATCCTGCTCGTGACATTGACCTTTTTATCTCAACCAATACCTTACATAAAAATTAATTAATTAAAAATGTATATTGGTAAGATTGGCAAAAGCACTGGGCTGTAATAACCGACAATTTAAAAAGAGATAAAACCAGCGGTAAAAGCCATGGACACAAAAAAAGGATAGCGATGACCCAATTATGAATTGACCATACTAAAACTAAACTAACGGGCATCTTAACTAACAAAAGGCCAGTGTTGCCTAATCTGCAGCACAAATAACTAAACCACTTATTGGCGGAGTGCAAACAGTTGGCACAGCACAGTACAAGGTTTGGCTTGTCCATGAATATCAACGACATTCTAAGACAAAGCAGTGATGACAGCGAAAATTTGATATTGATCCGGCAAACTTAGATTAGGCCCCAATGTATGCATGTATATGTGTGTGAAGATGAGTTGCAGAGCCTTTTTACTATGTATGGAAGGGCCAAAGATGATAATAGTCCCAGAAGTTCCATCAAAAATGTAAAATCATCAGGCACTCATGCTGGAGAAACAAATTTTATCAATAAAAAACAAAACAATTCCATTGTCGAAATTACTAAACCACTTCACAGATTTTATTTTGTGCTGTTGTCTTTTCTAAAGAAGCAATACCATAATTGGATTACATTTTTGCTTATCAAACCTTCTATTAAAGCACATTTAATCTTTTTCAGCACTCTTGGTCAATTAGAAGTGTGCTTCAGCGTACCTTGAAGTGAGCTTGTCATTCTCATCTGTTGTTGCTCATCTTCTCATCTTTTGCTACTTTGTCACCTATTTCTCAAACAGTGAAATCCTGGTATGAATCAGAGTCACCTTGTCTTGTCCTCTAGAAACTCACCAATTTTCCGGCAGGCACTTGTTACTCAGTCTTTCAGACATATTTTTGTAAACTTCTGAGATGGGTTCATACATGCTTTGTCAGTGCCTTGCCTCACCCTGCTTATTTCCTTGATTGATCAACCACAAACAAGGTAAAATGAGTTAAGCAGCGAGTTTAGGCAAACCACAATCATTGAAAAAGACTGTAGACACAGCACCTCTCAACAAGATATCTCATTTACCTGATTTACTAGCTTATTTTTTACTTTGCATGCGATGAAGGAATTTTCTTTCAAATTGGCAAATAAAATTTTTAATATAAAAAATATCTTTTATTGCGACCTGACAGTGTACGGTATACTCACGTTAGCCATACTTTTGTTAATTACGCTTGCCTGCTAATTGTTTTATCTTTTATAGGCCCCTAATAATTTTCTCTCATTTATTTCATTGTTGGGCATAGGTGTCATAGAAGAAAATGCTTTGAAGCTTGAAATTTCTTACTATTTGCAGTTCTTGTTATCCATGGTGATGCTTGATCTGCTTTATTTCTTAGCACGTCTTTGTTGTGGGGATTTTTTTTTTTTATGAGGGTATTTCAACTACGAGGTTATGAGAACCCTCGAGGTGCCGATGTTTTTGAAAAAAAAGCCCTTTTGTAAGTAAGTCGGGTTCGAATGCAGGGCCACTGGCCACTGGATTCAAACTCAGGACCTTTACCTTACACCGATGAATGCCGTGTCAACGCCTAACCCGTTCTGACCACCGATGCCCTGAAATGGAAGGATCTTTGTCTGATTTTGTACGAGGTGGGCTTTCTTTTTGCAAAGAACTCCGACGGGAATCAGCCTTTGGACTCAGGTGGCTGATTTTGTGTTCCATCCAGCTGCTCTGCTGACTCTTAACTCTCAACTCTCTTCAGCTCTACTCTATCCTTCTCCTCGTAAAGGCCAGCCTTATATCCTAGCTCAGTTAAAAGTAGCTGCAGTTGAGAACCTTGGATAGAGAGTCCTCGGAGGCATTTAACCCTAAGTCCCTGCTGAGAATGTGAGCCTTCGATGACTATGGCTGTGGAAAACGTGGACCTGGACCTCATTCAGCAAGGCCTCTGGGTGATACGATATCTTAATGTTCATAAGTTTAATGGGTTAAAAAAAATCAATTAGTACTTTTCAGGAATATTTAATATAATATGCAGTTTTAAATACAGTAAGGAAGAACATGAATAAATAATGTGTGTAAATATAAAATAGGGAAAAAGCAACTTTTTGTTGTTATAATAGTAATATCAAAAGTTCTCTTGAGCGATGTTATTTTAGTTGTAATTCATGCCACAACCAATTTATTATATTGATTAAAGAAAAAAGCCTTAATGGTAAACCTAAGTTAGTTGAAATCTTACCCTAAATTCGCTACTTATGTAATGTAGTTTCATACAATGTTACAATAATACCCATATTTTCATTTATCATAAATTTCTTTTGATGATTTTTTTTTTACTTCCCTAATTTGCCAGGTTTATTGGTCAAATTGTTTTAAGACAGTTTCCACATAAGAAATTAATAAAATGAAAGTCACCCACTTTCCAACTGTCTAAATCAGAAAAATAAAAATCTGCGCTAAAAGGAGAACTAAAGGGAACTAATAATTCACATAGGATATAAATATAATTTGATTTTTTTTTTTTCTACCTAATTCCAGATATCACAGACAATGGAGAGGATATTACATTAGAGAGAACGCCATTAAAGAAAACATGTCACCAAATGAAATTCAAACAGTTAGAACCAATTTCAATCGTTATTTGCATGTTGGAAAGTACGGTGATACAATTTATGGGTTTGAATCTGTAAGGATAATTTAACCTTTGTTTTCTACTGGCGTTGTTGTGAGGCTCTTGCCCTTCACTACAGTCTTATACTGTTCAGGAACGGGAAGCTCAGTCTGAAAAAAAATTAAAAATAATGAAGTTTGTAACAAACTAATGGTGTGCATTGGTGAAGAACGATACTACAAAAAGCTTTAGAAAATGAATACGTTAAAATATTTCTCCGAGTGATGCTCAGTGTATGTGAACCATTAAAATATAATAATTATTTAGAACAAAACTATATTAAGTATCAACTGAGAGCTTATAAAATTATTGTTGGCATAACATTTTTTATTTAAGTGTGATAATTGCATTGTAATATTAACAAAAATTTGAAAATTTTAATAAAAAGCATCTACGAATATGCCATTCATAGGGGTGAGTAAAACAAAAACCACCGTTTTATACTTTTTAGAGTGACGAGGGAATTTGTTTCCTGCTATATTTTCTATTAATGTTATTGTTATTAATTATTTGAAAATTATGAGATGCAGTCTGGTGTGACGTAGGTTTAGAAAAACATTTTCTTTGGCAAGATAATAATAATAATAATGATAATGCTTTATTAAACATAAAAAAAAGGAAAAAAGACAATTTAGATATCAAAGCATATAAGGCCATGGATCTTGGATCCGTCTGCCAGAGGTCGTTGATTAAACAATCAGAAACGAAAAAATACACAATCAAATAAAATAAATGATAGCCTACGCAATAAAAAGGAAAAAAAAGGAGAAGCAACAACTGCCAAAATGCAAAAGAGAACAGAAAAACAGGTTATACAATAGAAATCAAAAATTAAACTCATTAATTAATTCATATCTGTAGTTCCATGTATGCCTAGCGTAACAAATTAAGGGCCGCGAATTTGAGCCACTCAAAAACCGTAACAGGTCAACCCTGGGAACATCCGAGATGCAACAACCGAATCTCATCCAGGGATGAACACTCTGCCAAGAATTGGGATACGGTTTCAATAGAGTGCAAATTACACAAAGAACAGATTCCCAATTCCCCTCTGATCTAAACGGCCGAGTTTAAGTGCAAAACCTCACTTCTTAGCTTAAATAGCCATCGCAACTCATTGAGACAAAGACCATCAAAATTATCTTCATGTAGGTCGAACAATGCAGGAGAGAATCTTTGGCGAGATAAAGACTGCATCTCACGATTGCCAAATCATTAATTAACGGTCACCAAACACCACATGTTATTGTTACTGGGATCATAAAAATTTGTTTTCTTTATTAATCGTAAAAATAATATTTTGTTTTTTTGCCCAATTGAAAAATGTCTATGTCCTCGAAATACAAGCATTCAGTATAACAAGCTCGAATCAAGATGTTCAGGGCCACCATATGAAGTGAACAGAAAAGCTCTATGTTACGCTAGTCAGGTTAATCAATCTCATCAATCTTGCAAAATCACTGACAAACAAACTCTTTTTGACAAGATGTCACCATCGCTCACAGAAGTTAATACTAAAAGTTACAAAAATTAAACAGGTAAATTCCACAAACACACGACCTTTTTTTAATACTTGTTTTATTTTTAACTATGATGGAATAATGATTTTTTTTATGGCAGGGAATTTTTGACAATAATGAGATCAATTCAGAATAAGCGCAACTTATGTATGAGATTTTGGAGAGGCAATATCTGGCATTGTAAATAGAAAGAAAGTTTATTTTGACAAATGAAAACAAAACTTTTTAAATGGATGAAATCAATTCTTCTTTTTTTATTTAAAAAAAAAAAATCGAACTACTAGCCATTTGGCCATTAATTATTTTGATATGCCTATCTTTGCCGGTTTGGTCTGTCAGATGGCAAGATGCCAAAACAGGTAGACAGACCAAAATGGCCAGTAAAAATTAAATTACACCAAGAATTTTTCTCAAGTAGTCTCCATGGTGATAAGTTTGCTATAATTGTTGAGGTGGTCTGTCAGGAAAGTTTCGACACACTGGAGAAGGCAAAATGGCGGAATGTGTCTGACAGACAACCCAATGAGAAGATAAGCAGACCAAGATTATAATTAAGGATCAAATTACAATTTGGTAACTCTCACAAAATTGTACTACTACTAAAATCCAAGGAGTGGAGGGAATTGGCAGCTTGAATCAAGATTGATACTAATTTAACAAATCTATTTCAGCCCGCTCCTGAACAAGTACCCCTCAATAATGAGAAAAAAAACTTTCTTTCTTACATGTTTGTTGTAGAGGAGTTTCATTGTATATTAATCCGCCTCATCACTGGTTTGTCTGACAGATGGCAAGAAGCGAAAAGGTAGTTAGACCAAAAAAGGGAAGATAGGAAGGCCAAAATAAAGGTTAACAACTAAATTACATTGTGAGATTTCCTCCTGTGGTTTGCAGGGTAATAAACTTATCATCACTGGGCTAGTCTGATGGCAAAATGCAGAAATGCAAATGATCTAACCCAGTGAGGAAAGACTGACCGAAATGACTATCTAAATCTCAATATCAATTGATCTGTGTTTTAAACTTAGATATTTCATCCTAACAATGCATTCTTAATTAATTCACTTTGACATAATTTTTTCTCTAACTTATCTTTATTCAACTCAATATCCCCCTCTTTTAATTTTATGTCACATAATGCACATACTATTGAGACTTGAGGGCCAATATGTGCCCTTTTGGCCAATGACAAATAAATAGAGTGGCAATCCTAATTTCAATCAAACTGATCAGTCAACCATGTTAAAACAGAGGGGCAAGAAGTGTTGATTACTCCACAAAAGCGAAGCTTTTGTAAAAGATACAGAGCAAAAAAAGTAGTTATTAGAAAAAGGTGAAACGAAAATTAGGCATAATTTCCTAATAGCTGTGTCCAAATACAAAATTAAAAACTGTTTTTATTATTACATGCCATACCTCCCAGCCTATACTGCCCTAAAACATTTTTAGCTTAAAAACAATTTTAAATTATCGTAATTTTTGTTTTCCTATATAGACATTTAATATATTTTTACTGTTTATGCCTTTTCTAGAGGTGTGATTTACTCTGATGAGGACTGAAGAGTGCCTGTGACTGGTGGAGGGAATCCTTCATAGAGGCGTTCAAAATGTATAGAAATCCTATCTTTTGGGCAGGGAATGCAAAAATTGTCCGCCTAAGAGAACCTGGTCACTAGAGGGGTACAAGTTAAGACGGGTTTCATTGTAGAAATAAATTGTGTTTAATCGCTTGAGAAGGAGATTTTTTAATTGTTTTACTCACCCTTACAACATTCTACTGGTGCATTTGTACCCCCCCCCCTTTGAAAATGTAATAATTGTGCAAGAACTATATTTTTGTTTTGTTTTTTAATTTCTACAATACATAACTGTTCCAATTCTTGTAAACTTAGTTCGAACTGAATCACTCCAAGTCAACAGTTTATAGCTCGAATACCATCGATCACGCTATAAAAGCCAAGCGCTTTCTTTTATTCTTACTTAAAAATAAAGATTGACGGGAATTTTTAAGAGACTTGAAAGCATACTTACATATTCGCCATTGTCTTTTGGGACCAATACATTCATTTCAGAAGACTTTGAGCTCACGATCTCCACATCGAGCGAATCTTTACTCAGATACATTTGACATCCGTCTGTCTTATCAATGGAAATGGTTGGGACTTTTCCTAATACCTTAAATTTCCAAGATTTTTATTTTACAATTCATTGACATATACGATTTCTAAATATTTATACCGACCTGCATTTGTACAGATTGACAATTGACAAATTCAACTGACGATACAAGTGTGTCAAAGAGTACGGATGTCTTGCGACAAGAGTCAAGGAAAATCGAATTAATTTTTCCTTTGACAGTCAATGTTGAATCAGTACAACCGAACATATAAACAACATTGTTCATATCAGCACCGTCAACCACTAATTGATGATTACCCTTCTGATGCTCCTGTACCATAATATTCACAATTATAATTTATACAGTATAATGTTAATAATAATGTTATTATAGAAATGTATACGTACAACAAGCCATTTTTTGCCATCTCTAGAAAATACGGGGGGTTTCTGCACTGTTCCTCTTGGTCCTGTGCCTGGTAATTCGTGCTTTACAGAGCTAACTTGAGTATTAGGTGCTTTGAAAGGAGCGGGGCCTGATCTTAAACCCGGATTCTTATGCGTTTGCATATCTGCGGTGACTTTTTTCAAATCTGCAAAAAAAAAATCAGAAATCATTTTATATTTAAGCACGGCAAAGATTTTAGAGAGGAAAAACTTACGCTTTGTGACGTCTTCGCCACGGTTGATTTCCGCAAATAAGGCTGATCTGTCGTCACCTTCGGGCTGGATGGACAAATCGCCAATTGGTGGTGGTGGCGGAGGCATACCACCTGGCGGCGGTGGTGGTGGGACACCAGGACCTCCCTTCGCCCATACAAGTCCTGTTGTGTGATGCATTTTGACATATTTTTGAAGTTCGGTCAGCGTGTTCAACCAGGCATTGACCCATTCAATGTGTTTGGCATCCCTGTTACAAAAATGGCCACCATATTATTCAACATTTAAATATCATTCCTACTTATATTGGTTGTGTGCATAAGTTTTTTCGGTTTTCAGAAAAAAAATCAAACTTTCAAAATATAAATTAATTTTATTTTTAAAACAGAAGATAATTTCCTTTGTTTTGACATACTGCCAAACATTCTAATAACAGATATTTCCCATTTTTGTAAGTCTAATTATTGAGATGAAAATAAATCTGTAGTCCAATTTGCAGAGTATTTTTTTTCTTCAAAAATCCCCCGCCTGTTATGTGGTTGCCTAGAGAGCGGAACAAGTAAAAATCAGAGGGGGCAAAGTCTGGAGAATATGGAGGATAAGGCATTTGCTGCCAGCTTAACTTGGCAAGTTTATGATGCTGCGAGAGACATGGAAGTTTTTCCTTCAACAATGAACCAAAACGCTCCAGCTGCACACAGTATACCTCTCTGTAAGGTTTTGGTTGCGTAACAGTTCCCAATAAATCCTTCCTTATTCCTGAGGGTAAAAACCATGAATCGAGTTTCACAATGTAACCCAGAGAGTACCTGAATTTTCATTGATAGTTAATTTGTTTCATCTTCCCAAGCACTAATAAGTTGTCGCTTTTAAGTTGGTCATGGTGTTTAGCAAATCTGGTCTTTGATTCATCTCTTGCCCTAATAAAACGATGGAACCACTGTTGGCTCACATGTTCAGTTACTTCGTTATCACCATACATTCTATAAATTTCGACAGGCATCTGCCACTATTATGTATGAGATTCAATTCACTAATTTCGTGGTCCGCTTGACCAATTAATACATTACAATTAATTAAGGTTTTTAGTTGAGATGAAAAAAAGTTAATGGCACGAGTGGGATTCGAATCCACGATCTTCAGCTAGATACGCCGCTGCTCTACCACTTGAGCTATCGTGACCTCGATCCACTCGAACACCAACTTCCCATCTCAACCCCATCTTTTGAGTTTTCCCTCCTTTTTGACATTTTTCAAATGTCGTGTAATCGGATTGGATTCTCGACGACAAATGAAATGGCCACGGAGAGCTTTAGTGAAGTGTACTTCATTTTAAATCATTAAATTCGCTAATTTCGTGGTCTGCTTGACCAATTAATTAAGGTTTCTAGTTGAGATGAAAAAAAGTTAATGGCATGAGCGGGATTCGAACCCACGATCTTCGGCTAGATACGCCGCTGCTCTACCACTTCACTCTTTCACGATATTTGAAAAATGGCAAAAAGGAGGGAAAATTCAAAAGGTGTGGTTGAGATGGGAGGTTGGTGTCCGAGTGGATCGAGGTCACGATAGCTCAAGTGGTAGAGCAGTGGTGTATCTAGCTGAAGATCATGGGTTCGAATCCCGCTCATGCCATTAACTTTTTTTCATCTCAACTAGAAACCTTAATTAATTGGTCAAGCAGACCACTAAATTAGTGAATTTAATGATTTAAAATTAATTATACTTCATTAAAGCTCTCCATGGCCATTTCATTTGTCGTCGAGAATCCAATCCCATTACACGACATTTGAAAAAAGGCAAAAAGGAGGGAAAATTCAAAAGGTGGGGTTGAGATAGGAAGTTGATGTCCAAATGGATCGAGGTCACGATAGCTCAAGTGGTAGAGAAGCAGCGTATCTAGCCGAAGATCGTGGGTTCGAAGCCCGCTCTTGCCAATAACTTTTTTTCATCTCAACTAAAAACCTTAATTTATTATTATGCATGAGATTAATCTCATAAATCAATGCCTCAAATTAATTTTATCTGCTTCCATGCCATACATGTATTGTAGATGTATAGATCTAGATCTAGATACATCTATTTTCTAAACAGATTTTTGGGCTCAACTACCCCTTTCTTAGCAACAATTTAGTAATAATAGATCACCTTAATGAAGATTAAAGTTGAAATTTGAAAAAACAAAAACTTATGCACACACCCAATACATTGTTTTTTCTCTTTAAAAATAATAATATTTAAAAAAATAAATAAACAAAAGGCATATGTAACATTATGTAAGCATTATGTAACATCATCCTCTCTCACAAGTTTTTGGCAATAATAATACAAAAGTAAACTTTATTTAATATACTTACTTTTCTTTCCAGTCTTTTAATACTCTGTTCGTGTAGAACTGTCCAGCGTCATTCATTTCTTTTACATATGGTGATGGCGCAGGTTTCTAAAAAAAAGAAAAATTGTCTCAGAATGATTTTGTTTCAAGGTGTGACAAAAAAAACAATGATTTTGGGCATTCATTAGAGCCTGTTTGACCAATATACATCATGAAACATCAACACGTGGAATGCAAATTATTCATATGTGCAAGTGGCTCAGTACATTCCAGGAAATCACTAATACTCTTACTTTAATGGTGAGCGACCTGTCTTTTGAAATTTTTTATCGAATTAAAAATATTGGTTTTTGCTATGTTTCAATCTTTTTATTTGTTTCTTTATATAATTATTCTTACATTTTTAACACTTGTAAACCTTTATGTGCTGGTATTTCACAATGATTGATTTTTGGTGTTGTCGACTATTCGATCTTGTCACAAGAGATTGTATTTTAGGGAATAAGAAATAATGAATCTAAGATTGTTTTTCAAAAATGATAATATAAGCAGTAAGCAAATTCCATGTGCGGACAATATTTCGAAAAAGGAATAACATGAACAATGATAAAATACTTATCCCGTTTGTTCACTTTTAAATCTTATTAAGGCATTAAAAATACTCACAGATTTCACAACAGTCTTTCATTTAACAACAAATAAATCTTTCTAAAAACAATCACTAGGAACATATACCAGCCAGCAAATCAAAAGTTCTGTGTAATACAAATTTTATGTCTATTTGGGACATAATCATACAGAAATTAGCAAGAATCTGTAGCATGTGAACAAAAATTTAAAAAATCTAAATCAGAGCAATCAGGGCATACTTGAAATTGATAAATTATGAGATTTCTCTGTATGGTCTGCAGAGGGTTGAACCTGTGATTTGGTCGTTACTGACCAGGTCCCCACCTGAAGATTGCAAGATGCTGATAGGCAGACCAAAATTATGGGTAACAGCCAAATTACAAATGATTGATTTTGTTGATTCTATTCCGCTTAACTTTTTGAAACGAGTGAAAATAGTTAATAAGTTCTAACACACGTTGTTTGGAAAAAATGCCAAATATTATTTTGACCAATGTGAATGTAGCTTGATGCTCTGGTCATCATAATTCTTGTTGTTTTTTGTTTATGTTCCGACATTTTGCTAACTTTAGGTCTGTGTGTTTATTTTGTCAAGTGTCTCCTTTTAAGGTTTATTAAGAAAATTTTGCCCAAACAATTTTTGATTTACTGCAGTAAATATCAGAGAATACATATCAGGATGATCTGATATAGACAATCTACAAAAACACTTGGTAAAGTGACTGCAGTTGTGTTAATGAAAAGTTATCAAAAACATTGTCAATCAAAAAAGTTGTTTTCAATTATAATAAAAGCAGGAAGCAAATTTTCAATCAACCAGGCAGGCAAAACTTTGAAAACAGGAAGAACGGTGAACAAGGATAATAATACATATCCTGTTTGCTCACTTTTATACTGGATCTGAAGATATTAAAAAAATTCCATTTTTTCATTCCTCTTATTTCTTATTTTCAACAAAAAATAATTCTTCCTAACCTGTGAAAAACTTAAGTTCAAAAAGTGCAACAAAATTGAATTTAATATATATGTTGGTCACTGATTATGCAAGAATTATAGCAACTATGCTTAATTGAAATTAATGTCTTTGCAAGTAATTCATCAATTAATTCAAGCCAGTGCAAACTATATAACAATGAATAGCATGATAAATTTAATTAAACTTCATCTGTCAACTGTAATAAAGTCAATTATACTTACAAAGTAGTATAATAGATTTACAAGTTTACGACAAATAATGATTTGCATCTACGAAACGGTTAAAAATTAATGTTTATAACCACATAAGCTATTTATTCATTTTTTGTTTCAATAAGTGAGGACCAAATTGATACATTCTGTAATTATAACATTGACAATGTTAACATTTTAATTCCCACCAAGCATAAAATTCAGCAGAGACAACACAATCCAATAAAGAAGTTCACATGACACACGATAAAAGTGTCCGCTGGAAATTTTGCAATAATATAGAATAAAAACATTTATGCATTGTGTTGCCATTAAAATTAAATGTCCAATAATCAGGCTACAAATTGGTCTATAACTGTCTTTTTACAATCACTGGTGACTTCTACCTGTTTCCCCCCCCCATTTTCACTTATTTCTGATTAACTTATTTTTAATGATACTAGGTGGACAAATATTAAGAGATGTGTCCAAGAGTTCCAATGCCCCCAGGAGTGAAGAAGAGAAAATAATTTTAGGTGTAAAAATAACAAAAAAATTGTGTTCACAAAGCTGCTACTGGTCAGAACTTGCTCTCCCAATCAATTTGGATGAAATTTTAATGTACTGGCAATCTCGTATTACCTTCATACCCATGAATAATCTGAATCTTGGTATGATCTGTTTGTAAAAACGATTCAATTGTTATTTGCCAAGCTTTCAACCTATTTTAAAGTCATCATCAGGGCAAAATAATCTTAAAGATTGACAGGGGGCATCGGTAGTCGTAATGGTTTTGGTTCAAATTCAGCGGTCCTGAATTCGATCCTGACATACTTACAAATGGGATTCTTTTTTTGCAAAAACACCAGCACCCCGAGGGTTCATATAACCTCATAGTTGAAATTTCTTTGAAGATAAGACTTAGTCTCAACATTGCCAAGGACTGTAACATGGTTACCTTTATACCCAGAGGATGGTCTAATCGCTAGATTTATTTTATTTACACGGTTTATTTATTTATATCACAACAATGAAGTAAGAAATCAAATTTGGAATTTTTCTTATCGATTAATAAATTTTGAAATTAACTTTTAGCCTTTTTGCAGAGCTAGAAACCATCACAATATTTAACAATTTATTACGCGTTTCTTGGGGTTAATTTTGCCAAACCCCTATATTCATCTCTAATACTTTTCGATGTATTAACACCCCTTAAAATTTCTTTCAAATTGATTGAGAGAGCTGAGAGCAGCGGCAGCTTTGTGAATACTATAATTTTTGTCCATTTTTACACCCAAAATATTTTTTCTTGGATCCTGGAGCCAAACGGATGGAACCTCAAACACATGTCTAGAATGTTTACAGTATCAGAAGAAAAGTTTCATTAAAATTGATGACCACACAACTGTAGCCTCCCCTCGTTAGACCCCTTGTTTAGACAATGAATGAGACTAGTTGATTTATTGTAGCTTTTGTGTTTTAGGTTTTGACATTTTTTATTTTATTTTCTACTGATTTAGTTTGTATTGCTGTTTTTTTTGTTCAGTTTACACAAGATATAAAATTTTATCAATTTTTATCATATTTATTTTACTATCTTGCCTTTTGAACCAGGTAAAATACTAACTTTCACATTTAATGCAAGCAACTGAAATGTGTGAACGGTAAATTTAAATTAATTAAGGTTTTAAGTTGAGATAAAAAAAGTTATTGTCACAAGCGGGATTCGAACCCACGACCTTCAACTAGATACGCCACTGCTCTACCACTTCAGCTATCATGACTTCGATCCACTTGGGCAATAACTTCCATCTCAACCTTACCTTTTGAATTTTCCCTCCTTTTTGCCATTTTTCAAATGTCGTGAACTCTATTTGATTCTCGACGACAAATGAAATGGCCACGGAGAGCTTTAGTGAAGTATACTTCATTTTCAATCATTAAATTCCCTAATTTCGTGGTCCGCTTGACCAATTAATATTTTACAATTAATTAAGGTTTTTAGTTGAGAAAAAAGTCAATGTCAGGAGTGGGATTCGAACCCACGACCTTCGGCTAGATACACCGCTAATCTTCCAATTGAGCTATCGTGATTTCGATCCACACGGGCAATAACTTCCCATCTCAACCTCACCTTTTGAATTTTCCCTCCTTTTTGCCATTTTTCAAATGTCGTGTAATCTATTTGATTCTCAGCGACAAATGAAATGGCCACGGAGAGCTTTAGGAAGTTAATGTCCGAGTGGATCAAAGTCACGATCGCTCAAGTGGTAGAGCAGCGGCATATCTAGTTGAAGGTCATGGGTTCAAATCCCGCTTGTGACATTGACTCTTTTATATCAACTAAAAACCTTAATTAATTGAAAGATATTAATTGGTCAAGTGGACCTTGAAAATTAGTGAAGGTAAATTTAAATTTCATTTGCTGTACCTTAGATCTCTGATCGATATAGTTTAGAAGTAAATAAATATCAAATATTGTTAGATTTTTAAGAATGGTTATATCTTTTATCCTAATCTGCCTACTCTTGCAGTTTCTGTCTGCATTTCAGCATTCCATCTTCAGTGTGAGTTATCTTATCAAACATTTAACATGTCCTTTTATAAGTTTATTACCAAAACACCACAACACAAATTTGACATGACATTGAGACACAAATTGGAACAAATAGCACTGAATATGGTGAAATGTTGAATTACACACCGAAATTTGTAACCAACAAAAGCCGCTAGATCAAGATGATCAGAAACGATCAAGCGACAACCAAAAAACAAAAATTGCATGAGAGCTGAAAAAATTCTGTCAATCATCAAACAATTATTTTTTTTTAAGAATCTTAAGTCTGTATTTGGATGTTATGGCAGTTGTAACATTCTTGTAATTTGCTTTCAAAACGCTAACAACTCTCTTGAACAATCTAATCACGCATTTTAATTTTATAAATAACTTTATTAAAGGTTTTAATGATTGTTATCTACTGTTTTTTTAAAGTTTTTTAGAGGTTTAAAAATATTTTACTGTGATCTTATTTACGACAATGTAACGTAGCCCCGAAGAAGACTGTAATAAAGTTAAAAGCTTGGTGTGAAGTTACAATACTCACTTCTTCATTATTAAATTCCTGTACTAACAACTCTTTTCTTAAAAGCTTATGAAAATTCAGAAGGAAAATACATGAACTAGTAGGTTTGTCATTTTTACGCCCAAAATATTTTTTCTTGGTTCCTGGAGTCAAGCAGATGGAAATAATAATAATTTTAATGTAATATGTTATAATTAATATGTTTATAGTATCACTTTAAAAAAAACTCAAGGAAAATACTACATGATGAATAATCATGAAGAGGGCTGAATGAATGATTTAAAATAATTTCTTTCATAAAGACATGATTATACGTACATTTTTTCAGATTGGACTGGATTTCTTTAACATCCTGTAAATGAAACAGCCAGCTCTATCAAGTCCCAATTGATTCAACTAATCCAATGGAATTGTTGAGTAAGGAAAATCAGTTTGATTAACGAATAAATTACATTTCTTTCATTGACAACGTAACATTTCTCTCAATGTCTAATTTTTTTAAACAACTTCTGGGGTGTTTTTTCAAAGTATGAATAAATAAATAAGCACTTTGATGGTACTTACGACTGTGACCCAGCCGAGAGCGGGTATGCTCTCACTGACGGCACTTAAATGGTTGAAGAAAGGCGAACTCCTGTTTTTGGCCCTTAAGTCTTGAATCGCTTGAATTTTGCTCGAAGTCGGCCCCAAAAGTGAGACTTGCTCGCTCTGAGGCGGCTCTGACCTTTGACCGGCGTTTTCAACGTAAGCGAGCTGTGCACTGTAAAAGAAACATTTTTTTTTTATATTAGAATTAAAAAAAAAAAAGAGGTGTTTATTAAAGTTATTAGACAAGAGATTAAAAACGGGGTGTTTCCGGAACAAGGTCAGCATATAATGTAATTTCATGCTGTTAGATCGGCGTTAATTACCGGAGAGCCGGGGTTGAAGATCGGCCAACGCAAAAGAAAAACAACGGATCTTTAAGCAAACCAAAGGAACAAGCTAAACATTAACTTTCACGCTATTTGGTTTCTCTGTAAATGTAATACGACTGTAACAAACTATCGACATTCGCGAAAAGTTAGCAATTCGCCGTGAGAACAACGGGATATCTGTATGATACACGGTTGTACATTTTTAAAACAATTTTCACATAAGAATAACATACTTAAACTGACAATTAAACACAATACTTGAACAAAATAAATGATTAATCCAATTAAAAAGTAATTAAACGTAAACTATAAGTCACGTGGGAACAAGCCGAACGCCATTTTCACAAGACAAAAACCTCTCGATTTCATTCAACTTCCGGGTTGAAATATTTCAAAATAAGGATTGATCGCTTGGTTGGATTCAATATCGAAATCTCCGCAGGGCTTCTCTTCTCTCTTTCGTGTTCACTGATGCTCGCATCATCGGGTAGTTTTCATCAAAAGAGCCTCAAATTACATTCAACAGTCGTATTGTCCACATAGACGTCGAATAACTATCACTTGACGTCAAATATGAAATACAGGGTGTCCTTTTTAGATGGCCGGTCTGAATTTAGATTGGTTCTAAACCAATCCAAAATACACGTTTAATATTTTTTAGACTAGTTTCAATTTTTTACCTTTTTTTTGTAAATAAAATATACAGGGGATCCTCATGCCCAGTTCAATTTCAAAATTTCAAATACGATCATGTACAACCTGACTCATTTTATGGATTTTACTCTGAAAATAATGGTGCATTCAGATTTTAAATTGGTCAAAAAATGACCAAGTTACGGTAAAAAGAAACCGGCAGTGTAATTTCGACGAGGAGTCGAATATTTTATTGTTTGTCCGCGAAAATCCGAATTCCTCTCTCCGAAATGTCGGAAGGCTTTTAGGATTTTCAAAAAATAGAATTCGCGATGTACTCCGGACTTACAATTTTAAGCAGTTTTGCTCTCATCACTGGTGTCTACGAGATGAACCGAAAGACAAAACTGACGGTAGACGTAGGTAAATATGCTAGTTTTCCAGTCTGAAATCATAGCGATTGAACGATGCGCCAGAGGAATAAAAAGGCTAGCAATTCATTCCCGGAAGGTAGCGATTTTCTCTGATAATCTGGCAGCTCTCAGGGCCTTAGCCTGATGCGAGCCGAAGGAAGAGTGTTTGGAACTGCATGGAGGCTATGAAGGAAGTCAGCAACACTAATGATCTGATCCTGGAATGGGTCCCTGGACACTCAGGCTGGGGCAGCGGCAACGGAAAGGTTGACTTGTTGGCCAACATGGGCTCTCGGGGTCCTGAACCCTACTGTGGCTTAGCGTCCTGCCACAAAAGAGGATACATCTTAAAATGGATCCTAAATGAGTCCAAAACCTGCTGGAACAATAACACAGGTATGAGGCACGCGAAGAGATTCAAAGGACCATCCGCAAAACTTTCAAAAGAATTACTGGAAGGCCGGTTGGACTCCTGACAGGGCACTGCCACTTAAGAAGGCAGATGCACTGGATAGGAGTATAGAGAGAAGAAATACTATGCAGATACTACCAGAAAGAGGAAGAGACACATTCTATGTTTCTGTGAAGGTCTATGTAGGTACAGGTTCTTGCAACTAGGGCAAGAAAAACCGCAAGCAAGGATCCTACACTAACCTAACATACTATATATATAATAACTAATCCTACCGCTGGCAAGGCTATGGACGCTGATTAATAATCTGATAAATAACAGGAGAGCACAATAAATCTATTCAGATCGAGTTGCAGTAGGCCTTGTGGCCGCCTCTTTTATCCCTATCCCTCATTACTGGTGAAGAGTGTTAAAATGAGCAAATCTTTGCATCTTTACGCAAGGCAGGCGCAGTTCGAACATGAAATGTGTTTAATAAATAAAAAACCAAATGATTTTTTTTCCAGCCTTTTTGCCATAACTGACTTTTTTTGACCAATTTAACCAATTTAAAACCCGATTGCACCATTGTTTTGTGTGTAGTTCATGTATAGGGTCATATTGGAAATTTTGAAGTTAAAATGGGCCTGAGTTACTCGGTATCATTTTTTTCCAAAAAAAGGTAAAAATTTCTAACTAGTCTCAAAAATATTAAACACGAATTTTTTATATTTTTTGATAGCGTCAACGGTTCTTCTCCCGGGCCATGTAAAAAGGACACGCTGGAGACGTTTAGTCCTGATTTTAAAGCATATTAATGTTTTAATGCTTTCAAGAGGGTTTAAGATCTAACGAACGACTCGGAATGTATTTAATGGAAGCAAGTTAAATTAGATTTGTGAATCATTCACATTCATTTTCAACTGAAACTTTACCTTTTACCTTATTTTTATTCAAAACGTATTTGAATTTGAGCTAGCTGGTGTTTTTAAAATCGAAATTAATTAAAGGCAATTTGTTAGGAACATGATGCACCCGAAATGAAACTGGATTGCGATTACTGGCTAGTATAGGATGACTTACTGTGATTGAGAAATGCCCTAAGATTTTAATTTATGCAATATCTAAAGTACTAAGTTGAAGGAAGCCGGAGGAAAGCATAAGTTCAATTACATCTTATTCTTCTCGTTAAATAGAGTTTATTAATCAATTTTTGTCATCAGCATTTGTACAAAGTAAGAGGTTGGAAAAGGGCAACCGCACCCATATGCCCTGATGAACTCGGCCTGAGGTACCCTGCATATTTATTCTACAGAAAAAGGTAGACATTTGAAACTACACTAAAAAATATTAAAAATGCATTTTTGTTTTTTAGGTAGCGTCTCTGGTTCAGCCGGGCCATGTAAAAAGGACACCCTATATACATGGAGTAAAAAGCTTAAAAATATTTTCCTAAACCTCTTGGGATACTGGTAACTTACTATTCTGTTATTGAATAACCTATTTTCCCATTCGACTTTTCCCTTTGCTTGTTTGTAAATTCCCCCTTTGATTTTCCCATATATAAATAAATAACCTTTTAATATATTAGATTAGTCTATTTAGTAGTCCATTTTTTAACTTCTTAAGTAAAGTAATAGAAAAGTATAATGCACTGTAGGTTCTTTGTCTCGCCCTGTTTATAACCCTGACCTTCAGGGGACGGTGGCCGCAACGGTTTAGGCGTTGACACGGCGCTCATCACTGTAAGGTAAAGGTCCCGGGTTCGAATCCAGCGGCCCTGCATTCAAACCCGACATACTTACAAATGGGCTTTTTTTTTTCAAAAACACGGGCACCCCGAGAGTTGATATAATCTGTGCTGTTGCGAACTCTAGTAAGGGGGGACCTGATCTTTTGTGTAAACTAAAAAACAAATTTTTAACAATTAAACTAATCGTTGAGAAACTAAGTCATATGTTTAATTTCTCTAATATGGACAACATTTCTGCACATGCTATATTTGTCAGTACTTACAGTACCAAGAAAAACTTACTTAAACTTTAAACAAGAACTTTGGATACACGTAAAAGTTATCTTCTTAGTGGGTTTTTTAAAGATTAAAATAAAAACACAAATGAATCTCATAGAATCACAAATGCTCTTTCCATGAAGAATTCACTTTCATGAGATATGGGCGATTTTATGGAATAAAGTTGTGAGTAAGAAGTGAAATATCTCTGATACAATCGAAAATTATACTTTGGACAGTAGGACCTTTATGGTCCAATTGGTCATGTATAATAACCTCGTATTGTATTGACGCCTGTACAAGGATATATTTAAAATATTGTAAACAATTTTTTTGCGCAAAGTGTTTATTACTATTTAGTAGTTACAGTTGATTTATAACGAATGAAAACTCGTTGAGGAAAACCGACTCTCGGGAAATTCAGGGCAATGTCAAATATTAGACAACGCGTCCCGGAGGAATATCAAAAGCGTGTCAGCATTATCAACGTCCAGCCGGTCCTGAATTGGCAGAAAAACACATGTGAAATAACAACTTACTTGAAAGCATCGGCAACAAGTTGAGCATGCTCGGAGACAAGACCGCCGATTTGTGTAGACAGCCGTACATAATTGGCAAGTGGCCCTTGTACAATATCTCTATACCCAGCTGAAGACATCGCAGAGAAATTCGATTCGACGGGTGATGTAGGTTTTGAAAAATCTGGAAAGAAAAAACATTATGTTGCTTTAAATATTTTCTTTTTAACCTTCAATGGATTATAATTATATATAAACACCCAATCACTATTTCACTACAAACATGGAAATAAATAACAAGTGCACATATATGACATGGCCAAATAATATTATTCCTCATATACAGGTGTTCGGTTATTCGAGTTATAAACTTTTCCACTAGATTCTACATCCAAAATGGAACCGAAAAGTCCTAATTAACTATGGTCCGAATCTCAGCAGTTTCGGAGTTATTTCACTTTTTCTGATTTCACGACCTTGCTTCAAATAAACAATGATAACTCCCAAACAAAAAGGTTTTGGACAAATCCGTTAAGACCATTGAAAACTAAGTTAAATTTCATTTTTTTTTTTAATTTGAAAATAAATACTAATAATTTAAAATTTGCTTTTCATACTTGTGATGATAATGATGTGTGTCCTTGATTGCCTATCCCTTTTGCTTACAGTTGAATATCTTGGTGTGACATTGGACTCGAATTTGAGATTTAATTTAATTCATTAGCTAACTCACATTTTTACAATGTAAAAACCAAGCAATATTACAATTTTTCATTAAATATGGCATTTCGTTTTTTTTTTTTCTTTTCTTTTCTAAAGAGAGATTAATCAAAATTTCAAAAACTACAAAAAAGGCAAAAATTGTATAACTTCAAAAATTTAAATTGTAGTTAAGATATTTTAAAGCCTAGATTTTTGGTTGGTTTTGTTCATGCTACAAATTTATTCTGTATTTTGTTTGTTTATTTGTTTGTTTTTCATTTTGTAAAGATATATTGTGTTTATTTCTCTGATGATCTCCAAAAACTCTTGCTGTCTAGTACAAACTCTGCTTTTTGACAGCAGGCAGTGATGTACCAAAATATTATTTTTTGTTATCAATTTATAAGTAATATACATTCTTGCAAATAAAGATCTATTATAATTATTTTCAATAAGATGTGATCACTACTAAACTTGTAAACGTTCGTGAAATAAGCTTTTAGTAGGGAGGACTTAGAAAAATCTTTTCTTTTTTTCAAAGTTGAAAAACTTACTTTTTTTTATTTTCCACCTTACCTTCAACCAGGGTTTTTTGTTTTCATCAATTTCTTCGACTTTGAAAAAAAGTAATTAAAAAAGCAATTGCACCACTAAAAAGGATATTAAATGGAGTACGTTTTCTGAAATTTGCTCGTCTCTAGTTTTGGAAAGAGTAACTTAGAATCATCATAATAAGTTTTTCAACTAAAAAAAAATGATTCTTCAAAGTTCTTGCTACTAAAACGCTTATTTCCAAATTTACAAATATTGATTACATTTTATTGGAAATTTAACGTAATTTTCAATGGTCTCAAAAGATTTGTCCAAAACCTTTTAGTTTGGTTGTTATCATTGTTTATTCGAAACAAGGTCGCGAAATTTAAAAAAAATCAGAAAAAGTGAAATAATCAGAAACTGCTGAGATTCGGACCATAGTTAATTAGGATTTTTTGGTTCCAATTTGAATTAGAATCTACTGGCAAAGTTTGTTAAACGAATAACCGAACATGCAGTATTTATTAGATTGGCTTTAAACCTGAGAACCCATGACTTACTTGGCCAAGGATATTTTTGTAATAGTCTTTATAAAAACAGAAATGACGCATAGTCTTAGATCACTCACTGATGCGCATTTTCTTTATGCCGTATTTGCCAAAGAATGCAAAATAATTTTTAAAATTTTTACACGTAGCATATACATCAGTATATGAGATCCTAATATGGTTTTTTCACACGGTCTCAGCACGAAAACTAAGGCCAATGCTGCACCCCACACAGCCCATGAGAAACCAGCCAATGCTGACGGTAGTGTGAGGGATTAAGAGGCAAGGAGGTCTCGATGCCATCGTCGATAAAGCAACGTGCCGGGTTCTCGGGGTGGAATATGTACAAGGTTTGAGCGGTACGATGGATTCAGAGGTTGATGTGAAATGTTTAGAATCAGGAACGGATCAGTTCATTGCAAAATGTAATATTGAGGTCGTTCTGGATAGTGAGGTTAGTGACGTACTAACGAGCTCTGACGAGTTTTCTGAGGACTTTTGTTTGGAAGGATTGGATGCGCTGTATGCCTTGGCAGAACCCCTAAGGTTCCACTCCTTATGTCCAAATTGGTCGCAGTTAAGTTATAAGGTTAGTTGAGTTTAGGTCAAGACAGATTTAGGTCATAACCTATTCGTAGTTGTCCATGTCTTATGTTAAGTTGTCTCTTATGTGGGAATTCCAAGTCAGTCTGTTGTCTAGAAATTACCCTAAGGACCGGAAATCGGTATTCTCTTTGTTGTTGATGTACAGTGAAGGGCAAGAATTTTTTTTTTTTTTCAAATGTAACCAGCGAGATCATTTTTCCTCATTCAGTCTTGTGCTCCACTTTTTGCACTATACTACATAAGCTCAAGGTATTCTTGGATGCTGGAGATTTGCATAGGATTTCAGTATCGCCCGCGTTTGTGGTAAAAATGGTACTGGGATGTACGTGTAGGTCCACAGTACAAATGATGTACAGGACGGAACCAAAAATGCTTCCTTGTGCGACGCCGGATTGTATCAGTCTGATTTCTGAGAACTAGTTGCCGCACCTCACTCTGAAGCAGTGGTCGGTTAGAAAGGACTTCAGGATAAGGTAATAAGGAGTGGGTAGGATGCGTTTAAGTTTATAAAGCTAGCCTAGGTACCTATACCATATCAAAAGCTTGTGCTTTGTACCTGTAAGAACGCACTCAAACAATACTCTGTTCTTTAGAGCAGAGGAGATGGTGTCGATAATTCTCGAACCTTGATGGATCCTCCTTGGAATGAGGATGTTGGAAGCCAAACTGGTGAGAATGGAGAATGAGGATGAAGTGGCCATCTGCAGTTACTACAGTACCCGCTAGGTGTCGCTACCAGTTCTGGAATGGTCTAATCAGAGTAGAGCTATTTCGTATATAAGCAAGGGCATTGCCCCACTGACTTCAGACTCGTCTCCCCGGCGAGATCTCATTGCACGCCTTGAGTCTCGAGACTCGTCTACCCGACGAGCTCTCGCCAATCACTAATGGAGCACCGACAACGACAGCAAGGGTACTCGCAGCAATAGCCTGGAACTCGCCTTTTCAACACTGCCGACTTGGCTACTGGCCAACTGCTGCACTTGACTACCTGCTGCACCAGAGTCCCTTCTTCGCAGCAGAATCAACCGACTCATAGCCCTTGACCTCAGACAACGGTTCTCTCGGTCACGGACAACTACCAACGGCACACACACACGGTCCCGGCCTCGATCGTCCCAACGCTACAAAACAACACCGGCCCTTATCAGGGCCACCAAAAACTCCTAGTCACTAAAAGGATTGAGGATATTAAACGCTTTAAAATGAGTCTTTCGATGATTTGGGATATTGCAAGAAGAAGGCTGATTGGGTTGAGTTTTAGTTATGAGAATGTCGATGGAATATTTCCGTAAGAGAGGAAAGTGAGTGGTTTGGAGGATAACATTACATATGCAGAATAATAACTTTATATGCTGATCATTTTGCGCCAATATATTTTTGATGAATTTTTCACTCAAAACAGATTCTTAAAGCCTGGTAAAATCACATTAAAAGATGATATAGACCAAAAAGAGAGAGCCATCTTATATTTATTCACATTTTGTCTATAAGGTGTTTAGTTTGGCCGCTTGTTTTCAAGCATCTTCTATTGTAGTACACAGAATAAAGGACCCAAGTCGAAAATCTAATCTTGAAGGAAAAGAACCTTTCTGAACTTTCGGTCTGAATCTTTGATAGTACAGCCCCATATGAATAATTCCTTTGATCTACGAAGCCTTGTACGTTTATCCAAGCGGCGAGTTCATCTATACTTAAACTGCACCGTATGAACTCTTTTTAACAACCTCGATATCGTGCCATCGTACGATTGTGTATTCACCACTCGAGTGTAACGTTCGGTGAAAAACCGTTTCGCTTCGAAACTTCGGCGCCCCTCCTTGGCATACACTTGGAAAACGTGGCTAACATGCATGTAACTTGTTTAAATCCGAATTAAACGATTGTAATGATACATATTTTTAATTATTAGCAATTAAGAGCCGACGTCGTTTCCGGGTCGTTGACACCCTGGAACAATGACTAACGGAAGTTTCTTTTACAAATTGCTAACGCAAACGCAATTTTCTAGTTGAAATTCACAATATTCCCCTTTGTTGAAACATGAAAACAATATTATTAAAATCAAGCAAATCAAACTTTGGTTTAAAGCGGCATTATGTTAAAACCTTTTTGTTAAAATCCAATTTGTTCTTCGTGAGAAATTTATAAAGGAACAATTTTGAAAGAACTTGGAAAAAAGGACATTCGGTGAGGTCACAGCAGAACGATAATTCTTTAAGTTTTTGCCGAGCTTTCGACGATTATATATCGTCATCATCAGGGGCTTTAATTTGTTTAGTGTTGAAATATATCTTGAGAAAAAGAAACTGCATTTATAATAAGATTATTTAAAATTAGGTTAAGCTCAGTATCTCGGTTAAAATATACATATTATAGTACATGCCTCTTTTTTTAAAATACTTTTTTCAGGTACATTTGATTATCACAGTTAAGAATTAATTAAGCTGTTTTTTTTTAATATAAATGACACACAAACGTCATGTCTCTGCCTTGTGGTAGAAATTCGCACTTTAATTTAAGTTATCTATAAGTAGTACAATTTATATTTAAAAAAACTTAATTAATTTTAAACTGTGATATTCAAATGTACCTGAAAAAATTAATTAAAAAAGAAAAAAGAAAAAAAGAGGCATCTACTATAATATGTATATTTTAACCGAGATACTGAGCTTCACCTAATTTTAAATAATCTTATTATAAATGCAGTTTCTTTTTCTCAAGATGTATTTCAATACTCATCGTGTTAAAGCCCTGATGATGACGACTTAAAGAATTGTCGTTCTGTTATGACCTCATCGAAGATCCTTTTTTCCAAGTTGTTCAACAGCAGGTCAACCCATCATCTCATCTTTAATTTTACAAGAATCAAAAGAAAACCTCAAGTAAATACATCTAAAAAATATAAGTTGTTTATAAAAATATGACAAATTTAATAATTGAAGTAATCGTTCTAATAATAATGTATATTCAAACAAACTTTCTTTTCTTTTGTATTGATTTTTACATCTGTAAAACTATTACAACAGTAAAAATATTACAAGAATAAAATTGACAACATATGAGGAGAAATCACTCAGTGGTGAGCCTTCTTTAGAAAAAATAAATACGTCCACTTTTCAAATTTCTTCGTCACTTAGTGGGTCCCAGTCGACGGGGAGTATTATCTGGGATGGTAGTGGAACTGAGCTGAGGACCAAGGCATTGGGTCGGGTGGAGAAAAGGATTGAATTTTTTATAATTGCTCTTCGCTACTTCTGGAACAAAGGGAATATTAAGGTCTCGGGTGAGGTTTGGTACATAATTAGGAGGGTTAACAATTTTTCTTAGGACTTTTGATTGGAATCTTTGGATGAGTTGGGCGTTGAAATGCTTAGTTTTTATTTTATTTAATTTATTTACAGTCCAAACAGGTCAATTACCCAAGCATAGGACAGTCAAGCAATACAATAAATCAATCATTACAATATAAACTGGAGGTCCGAAGTCGTCGAATGTAATGTACAATATGCTGCAAGTGCCTTTAATCATTTCTCTAGGAATATAAATGACGATAGTTTGTAGAAATCATGTTTCCTTTTATTACAATATAAACTATTGTAAAAGACATAAAAATAAAAGCAAAGAAGGGCCAACACTTTTAACAAACAAATCAACATTATAAATAGATTAATAAATAACACGACAAAAGTAATAAATAAACCCTAAATTACATTTTAAAGCTATTTTTTTAAAGATCCGAAAGGAAGAGGAGAAGGGGTCCGCACTGATATCGAATTTATTTATGTAATGCACAGCTGTGGAGATTGAAGACTAACCCGGTATTTGGTCCTGTGCCGTGAAGTACTAAATAATTCATGAGTCCGTAGTTGATGCTGCGGAACGCCAAAGCCAATATAAGATAATATCTCCGGGTAGTCAATAAAATTATTTTAGGATCTTCCACGGAAACATGACGGAAGCCAAAACTCAACTATCTTCCAGAGAATCCATGCCTACTAGCGCAAGTCTTCATAGGTGCAATGATGGTACTTCCTGTGATTGCATATTTTGTAACGCAGGTATTTCATGGCCTTTCTCTGTACCGTTTTTATCATCACCCATCTAAACCCGGCGACCAAACAACATTGGCATATTCTATGTGATTGCGCACCAGTGATTGATAAAGTAATTTATTGCCAAAGGGTTCTTGAAGTCAACAGTTTGCCTGAGTACGAATCCTAAATTTTTAAACGCTTTATTCCTAATGGCATGGATGTGGTCCCGAAAATCACAATTCTTATTAAAAAGAGATCCGAAATAATGTCTACCTCATCAATGCGAGAACGTTCAATACTATAAACGAATTGGTCGTGATCGTGAATGATCTTTTTCTTGGAGAACTTCAAAATCTTACATTTTTCGTTTAGTTTGAAATTATTATTCGTCCACCAAAGCCAAAAGCGTCTGAAGTCATTTTGTAAGAGAATGCAATCATTTAACGATTCGACAGGGAGATAAATTTTCAAATTCTCTGCTAACAGTGAAAATGAAGAATTAATGAGAGCAGAGGCGACGTTATTAAAAAAATAATAAAACAAGAATGAGGGACCAGAATGAGAACCCTGCCGCACACCAGATCGTACGTGGACAAGTTTCCATAAGCCTTTACCAAATCTTACAACAAAAGACCCCTCAGACAAAAGGAGTCCACCCATCCCAAGAGGGTTTTTACACACCTAGTTTTTTGGGTTTTTTGACCAGGATGAGACGATCCACACTATCAAAAGCTTTTGATAAATCTGTATAAATAGTCCGTAGTTGACCCCCGTAGTTCGATACCACAAGTCCACGTAGGTTTGAGAACCATGGTATATATTAATCTTTTGCAATTAGGCGGATATTTTGATCGCCTAACGAGTAATGGAGATAACGGTTTGAATCGTCTGTTTAGTTTGTTTCGTTTTAATCTTGTGTGCGGATTCCAAGTGAGTCATTTGTCCAGGTAGAGTACCAAGTGATATATGTGTTCGGCAGGGGGCAGTGAAATCCCATTAAAGTAAATAGGTGATAATGTTATACGTCTGAGTGAGAAGTTAATGTAATGCCTCTTCGTTGGATTTATTTCAATTTTCCAAATTTTGTACCAAACGTCGAGCCATTGTAAAATAGTTTCGAAGGTACGCGGTGACCTGGATCATTGTTTTGTCATCTAAAGAGGAGAGAATTGTTTCTGGAAAGATAGTAATGCCAGCAGTAAATATCGTGTAAAGGAGAGGTCCAAGAATGCTCCCTTGCGGGACGACAGCTTAGCTAGGACAGAAAGAGGATATCGCTTTCCCTGACTAACTTTTAAGTAACGGCCAGACAGGTCCGATTTTAGGATAAGGTGAGTGGTATTCGGTGGGATGCAATTCAGCTTCCACTTGAGGCCCGGGTGCCAAACCAAACAAATAAAATGAAATAACCTGCACTAAAATTAATATAAAATACCGGTTTATTACCAACGCTCTTAACATTATTAATTATGTAAATTTACTTTATTAAATCAATATTTACGTTGTTATATTTATTTACATTATATTTAATAGAGTTGTGTATATAATTATTCAAAAGCAAAATAAAATTAATTATGCATTGTGATTATGTAAACAAAATCATGTATTCAGGGACTAAAATTACAGGTCTTTAGTCCAAGCAGTCCATTTACTTGGGAAATATTCCGTTCACTTTGTGAACATCATGAGCCATATAAAACAATTACATTAATCTTTATTTATTTATTATTAATTAGCATTGCACTAACGTTGTGTAAAACAAGTGTGAAAGCTTTCCATTCACTTTGAGAGTACCACCAGCCCTTTAAAACAGTTACATTAATTTTTAAATTTTTGTAGTTAGTTAATATTGTATTAACTCACTGGTTTTGCCCAATGTTAAAAGTTCCACCTGTTGATAGAAGTTACTTTGTGAGCATCATCAGCCCTTTAAAACAATTACATTTCATTTTAACATATTTATCATTAATTAATATTGCCCTAACATTGGTTTTACGCAATTTTAACTTCGCACTCTTATTATTGTCTAACCAGAGGGAAAACTTTTTGTTCACTTTGTTTCATTGTTCAACTTTGTTCATTTAATAAGCCTGGTTCCTCTTCTTCATCATCAGAATACCGTGCGCCAGGGTAACGTCTATCAATTGGGCTGAAAGGGTTTCGGTAGACGACTAATTTTTCAGACAATTTTATCTTTTCTCCCTAACCATCCCTAATCTTTTCTCAAGACTTTATTTTTAAAAATCGTCTCTTGTGGACGGTGTGAGAAAATCCGTTATTCTACGCCATTTATAAGTCTACTATCACCCTTATTTTTTGGCATCTCTTAACGAACTAAGATAAGTTATCTCCTTCCTCAGGCCTTAGGGTTGAAGGCTAGGGTCGAGGAAACTAATTTTTTTTTTAAATAAATTTCTTAATTGATTCCAATTACCTTAATGATTTTTCCCTAGCTAGTGTCCCCCTTAGAATAATGTAGAGGACAATAGTCCGGATTGATTTTACGGTTTGTGTTTAGCTTAATAGTTGACCACTATAACTGACATCACTTTTTGATTTTAGAGTTTCGGATTTAATATCTAGATATGTACAGATAATATGTGTATTACAATAGAACCAATGTTACAGAATGATGAGTCATAGACATAAACTGTGCCTATCTATTAATAAAATAGTATGAATTCTATCCTTAAGGTCACCTTTCGACCGGGTTCTCATATGACCATAAATTATGACTGGTGGGGTGTAAAAGTTAGCCGCACATTAATCTTTCGACGCCCTCTGACCCGAAGACGTTGGCCTGTTTTGCAACTCACATTATTATAACGGAAGAATTTTGGCATATAGACCATTTTCAGGATAGGCCGTTGAATTTTTATTTGTGAGAATAATGTGCCTCTAACGCGTATAACTATTTGAAATATACAAACATTAATGAATTAGATGTAAGGACAAAAATCTTACCGAAAGATAACGTGGTAGGAAATTTCTGAATAGCAGCTAGAGTCTCTTCTAGTCTGGTTGTAACTACTTCTAGTCTGTTCACTAGGGCGTCTAAATCCTGACAGTGACCGCCAAGAAGAGCTTCTTCTGATTCTCCTGAAACAGAAACCAAAAACTAGTCAGAAAACATGAGACAATGATAAAATTAGGTCAGAATATCGCAGAAACAAATTTTACGAAAAAAGCCGAAAAAAAAATATTATGAAAATTGTAAGATAAGCTGCGTTAATAATAAGTGGCAAATTTGTATGTAGTAAGAGAACATGTATGTTTATGAAATGTGTGTCTTTATAAAATATATATGTTTACCTTTATTATATTATTTTGTTACATATAGCCAATATCAGTAATAAAAATAGTAAAATAAAAGAATACATCATACATAATGTACCCACAATCCCACGTATTTATAGCCCAGTACTAAAATGAACTGAAAACGCGCCTCACCACAGTAAACCTGCGAGGTAAGGCAAATCAAAAATGACCAAATTACAGGTTCATCACTCCACAGACCACATGGAGACCCCACCAAAGAAGGAATGGAATGCACACTAATTTACACGGCGAATAACCGAACACTCATCCCCAGTAGTCAGGATATATTTAATAGTAAAAATCTGGCACGCAAATAACGCGTTGCATCAAACATTTGGACACTTGCAACTGAAATACAATCTATATCTCATTACCCCATTTGGCAATACTCTATTGTTTATGGGATTCAGGAATCTTCACTCTCTCCCTCATACACACTCCCTCTCGTTCTGTTGTCTATATCTGTCTACCGCAGCCGAACTCGAAACATATCAACTGTAATCATCGAACAACACTGCTATTTATTTTTCAATAATAAACGAGCCCTAACTATTAAAGATGTATTAATTAAAGAATATCATGGCGTTGTTTCCGTCGGTTACGAATGGATTGGCCTAACATAACACATGTCTTGGAGTTCCTCGACCTGTACCAAACCAATAATTTGGAACGCTCCTCTTTCGAATCACAAATCATTAGATCGAAAGTAAGAGGGAGCAACAGTACTCTGTGTCTGAGTTTGTATCCAATAGAAAAAACAAAAACCGCAGCTGTAGCAATGACAGTTTTACTGTTGCCCATCACAATTGGCAGTACTTTGAAGATTCGCACGCCACTCGGCAAATATGAATTCGCTGTTTCCGCACAAACCGGAAGAAGTTACCTTAGTTTACGAACCCGCATGTATCTACATAAAGGCACGCTATTTAGCGAATCCAAGACGAGCATCGCTATTATTGGCAAATGTCCGGCAGCAATCGGTATTCGGAGAATACCGCATGTCTGGAGCCACCTTTATACGTTAACATGCGTGGTCCAGGTTAGCTTTTCATAAACTAGGTAAAGGACATGTACCTGCGAATTGTTCAGCAAGCGTATTTTTTGACCACTGGTCAATCAACTACTAGCTATGAAACTTCTTTGGACTGCTTTATCGATTGGTTTCGTAAAGCTAGAGATTTAAATTGAGCTTCTTCTTCCTGGAGAATGATACAATGGTTGCCTTTGTGAGGCTTATATTTAGACCTTTCTCCTGACGACACCATTTCAATGGTTTAAGGCTTTTTTTCAATAGTTTGACCAGAGATTGGTCGAATTTGCCTTTTTACCATCATAACAAAGCTTTTATGGCCAGCTTGTGCGGTGGTCATTTACCAGTGATGGTAAGTGTGTGGTGGTTAGTGACCATTAATCGATAATTATTCAGAAATCGTGAGATGCGTGATTCTCAACACGACACGCAAGAATGCCCCAATTACACAGAAAACAAACACTTTGAACCCTGACGATGATCTCAATAAATATCGAAACGTTGGCACGATAAAGGAAAATGTTTTTCTGAAACCTACATCACACCAGACCGCATCTCACGATTTCTGAATAATTAAATGATAAAATGTTTGAATAGTTGAAAATGACGTGAAAAACGTTTCATTGCCAGCAAAAAGTAATGTCATTTTTCAGTCGACTTTGTCCTTTGTTTTACAAAACAATCAGGTCCTGCATCTTCACATTTGCCAGTCCTCTGGACACGATTGGCAATAAAAGGAGTAGTCGGTCAGGGATTTAAGCAGGAAGAGCCAAGGCAATGATTCCAAGGCAATGAATAATTAGTGCTCATAAGGTTGGCGATAGAACTCCTTGGGGGCACCCTCTAAGTGGTTGTATCGTTAGTTTTTAGCACCCCCCCCCCCCAAGTTCTAGTTTTTTTAATTTTCGGACAATTAGCATGGCGTGTATCTATTGTATAGTCGATGGTTCCATTCCTTTATCTGCCGCCGCGTCTTTAATCGATATGTATGAGATAATGTCAAATGCTCATCAAACCACATAGGGCAATTTCTTTATTTTGAATTGTGTTTTCTATTTTCAGTACGAGATTATACGGAGATAGAGTGTTGCTTATGAGGAGGAGATTTTCCCCCCCAGGTCAATGACTGTCTCCATCATTTTCAGGAGAAAGTAGGGGAGACTAATAGGCCTATTGATAACTTAATTTAAGCACATACTTCATTACGCTAATAATCACACGATAAATAAGAAAGACAATATAAAAACGTAACTCTGTTCTTCTGTCTTCTTGCTTTTCTTTTCTTTCTATGGGCCTCTCTTTTTTATCTTTCCGTGACCTGGTACTACTCATTACCCCGTTATAATATTGCTAACATCAAAAGATACAAATTGTTACATTTATTATCTATTTATTTGTAAATCGGAGAGGTTCTTAAGTTTAGAATATGTTACTAACGGTCTACAAGGTGGTTTTATTTAATTAATAATAAAATTTATTTAAAGCGTTATTATTATTGCAGATTATTTCACAAGCTTCTACTAAATCGTTTTTAAATGAAGAAACATTACGATATAAGTTATTTATTATTATTGTAATATTTTGCGGTCTGAGGTAGACTTCGCAGCTGTAACACTGACGTAACAAACATTGGCAAAGGGGCGAGCTTCGCAAATGTGTTACATGCGAAATTGATTAAAGAGATTGAATTAAATGGATCAGTGAGAACCTGATGATGAAAGACGTTTTCCTTGATTTGGAAATATTACATATCAGAGTGGTTTTTTTAAATGTTTTGTGCTCCACAGAGAGAGGAGCTGTCATCCTGCGGCCTTTTAATTTCAAAAAGTAATTCAAACGTCAAAGTTTGTACCAAAGAGATGAAAGATAAGTCTGCAGTGCGGCTGAAATGAAAACAAAATTGTATATCGCAATATGAGATGTATATCGAAAACTTAGAGATTTTTTTAATAAGACAGTAAAAATTATAAATTTGGGATGAAATGAAAAATTCTATTTATCTATGTTAAAAAAATAAATTTAGGAGATAGCATTATTTATTGAACTATCTAAAAAAACCCTGCTGCAATAGACAATAGAAACTTAACAAAATAAAACTTAACATCTGGTGGAAAAACTGCTTATACTTACACATTCTCCCCCATCTTATTTCAGACCAAGAGTTTGGGTTTAGACATTCTCATTCCACTATTCAGTAGTGCCGTTGTAAAAATCGCTACCGCTCTTGAGCAAAAGGAGTGCTGCTCGGTGTATTACTAGATGAGAAGCAACCCTTTGTTGGGCATGCCACTCGGGGCTGCTCTGGAAGTTTAAGAGATTCCTCCCCTTTACCTACTATCTGATGTAAAATCCTATCTATCCTACAGATACTTTCAGGTCATCTGTGGCCCCTCCTTATCAGCCGAGTATCGCACAAGAAAGTATCTTATTGTATCCGTCTACACAATATATACCGGACATTCCTACTCCCGAAGCGATCCTTACCACCCATGCGGATGATAGCGCCAACCTTTGTTCTCACAAAGATCTCAACCAGAACCCTGCAAACCCTATAACATCCCTCGAGTGGTGGTTCAAGCGGTAGAAGGTAACAATAAACATACAAAAATGTGAACATGTCGCTTTCACCCAAGAACTTCAAGTTCAATCCATGCATGTGCCATTAAAAAAGGCAGTTTTGTCGCTTCCTGCAAAAGCATTCTGATAACCCAGGAGACATATAGAAGGCGCTCTATCTCCGGTCGGCCGGTACCCTCCAGCTAAAATACAAGGTATTCTAAAACCACGACACCAACCACGAGTCCAACCTCAAATGAAGGCTACTTGGAGTCACTCCCTCCTGGGTAATGTAAGGTGAGACTGATCGTCCACCCTGGTGTTCCTAAGAACCCCCTACTATTTGCACCCATTGCCTGAGGAGTGCTCATCTACTAAAACAGTAACCTTCTTCCACCAGCTAACGTACTACGCAACGTTGGGCTTACATGGAACCCTCAAACGAGAGTCAAAAGGCAAGAGCTAAACAAACGCTTCAGACTTCTTAAAAGATTGCTGGACAAATGATAAAAAGAAATTATTTAAAAAAATGTCTATTTTGAGACCCCCATTTGGATATATGACATCGAACTTTAAGGGTCGACAAACGTTTCAAACTCCAACGTATTCAATCTTACCATTCACAATGACCTTAATATGTAATATGTCCTTGAAATAACGAAAAACCACTACAAGAAGTTTCACAAGCAATTATACTATCACACAAACCATCAGGTCAGACACCTTTTATCCAGCACCCTTCCAGATAATAACTGGTCTAGTTACCTCCTAAGTAGCAGTAAAAGTGATTAACGCTAATATATAGAAGTGCTAATGAGCAGTTCATTTTTCATCAGGGACGATGAAAACAACCCTCTCAATTACACTAGAAACTCTGCTAAACGTACCTCCATTGGAAACATACGGGAAGAAGCAAGAAAAAGCTAATTTAGCCTCTAGAAACAATCAAACTCATTAGGGAAGTATACATCAGTCTTTCAAGCTGAAAAACATGTCATATTAATGTTTGTGCCTAAGAAAAAGTTAAAGGGGTAACGCTAGAAAAAAATCCTTATAAGATTGGATAGCCGCTATTAAAGCATTAGCATATAAAACAATCACATCAAAATCAGTCAGTGAATGCATCCAAAATCTCGGGAAAATTAATAACCTGATGATATCTTGGGCACCAAGACTCAAGGAATTTTGAGGAACGAATAAGCAGACACAGTGGCGAAAGGAGGATTTTTAAGACCTTATGCAGGGTGTATCAACTCCTATAGTCCACCCATTTAATTCGGAAACAATTAACATCGGCAAAAAATGGTCTTATACAAACCCCAAGTTAATTTTGGCTAAGAATCACGTGGTATCAAATTTAACATAACTTTCTCATCTAACTGGGAAATGACACTAAAAAATTTGTTATTTTAAAAGAGAATATCATATTTTTATTGTACAACTCAATTCTAGAACTTATTTTATGACACTTTTACTGAAAGGAACATTTTGAATTATGCCCTTAGGAAGACGCATGAGGGGGGGTATGTTTTTTGTAACAACAAAATGGCCCTCTACGTTTGTGTCGAAAACGATGAGCTAACATAAACTTTGTATACAAAGAAAACCCGGGAAAAGAATTGTACCAACGACAGTCAATGACCTAGTAATTCTTAAAGAGCAATAAGCCGGAAGAAACAAAAACCCACATTCTCATTTTTTATGTATATATTTTATATATTTTTTGTGTTCAGTTGGTGTTTTCTTTTGCATTAGAAGATCTTATGCAATCAAAAACATAAGCGCTGCAATTGGCACAGGTGTAAATAAATATTTTTAAAAAATTTAAGAAACCATATTACAATATAAATACATACATAAACGCTAATTTTATCTCTACGCCCATAATTAATTGGCTCCCGACCAGAAAATTGCGAGATTTGTACCAAAATAAATTTACGGTATAAATCCACTAGAAAATTGTAAATTTATGCAGTGTCCGATTATAAGCGAATTTTTAAAATTGAACACGTAACTTTCATATTATGATAAAAAAATCCGGCCAAAGCTATAGAGCACAGTCATAACATGGTTCTCTTTTCTATATTCAGTTTAACACAATGATTGAACTATTTTGGTGTTCGGTCTTCACTTTACGAATGGGAAAAGTAACAAATCCATTTATCAAAACCGAAAACAGAAAAAACAGCCAAGAAATTTTAACCATAAGTAGTATTTATTTATAATTGTATAACCAAAGTGTACTTTTTTTAACATATCTTAAATGAATATTTATTTTACATACGGGCGCAGAGCCCATTTATAAGAAAATTGTATTTTCCCCCAACTTATAAGAAAAAGTAAAACAATGGTTAAAATATACATAAATTGAAATTAAATGATACATAAGTTTTTTAAATAATATTAGACAAAAAATATTTCAAAAAACTAATCGAATTGCATATATATTATTAATGATAATGAGAACAGGTAAACTTAGCATTATTGAAAAACTAAATTAAATATAGTATAGTAGAAATGTGTGGTGTTTAGTGACCGTTAGTCAATGATTATTCGAAAATCGTTAGATGCGGTCTGGTGAGACGTAGTTTTAGAAAAACATTTTCTTTATCGTGCCAACGTTTCGATCTTTATTGAGATCATCTTCAGGGCCTGGGATTTATAAACATTGTTTGAAATTTACAAATACATGTAGTTAGTTAGCATTCTATAAATTCGTAAGTTTTTTTCCAAATCCTAAATGTATTTGTAAAATTCGGACAATGTTTATTAATCCCAGGCACTGAAGATGATCTCAATAAAGATCGAAACATTAGTAAAACCCACGTCACACCAGACCGCCTCACGATCTCCGAATAATAATATAGTAGGTAATAGAAATATGTAAAATTTAGAAAACAAAAAAAAATATATATATAAAATTTAGTTTTCAATAATGCTAAGTTTAACCTGTTCTCATTATCATTAATAATATATTTGCAATTGTAATATGTAAAATTTAGAAAACAAAATATATATAAAAATATAACGGAGAATAATATTGCTTAAGAGAAACTAGTAAAAAAAAAAATAATACAAAAAAATACAAAAAAGAAAAGTTGCTGGCGATAAATTTTGGAAAAATTATTTAAAACAATTTTCCTTTTTTGTAGAATGTTTAAACTTAAATTGTACACAAAATGCAAATTGTCTGAACATTCTTAAGAGAAACGTTTGTTTAAAAATTTGGATGCCAAAAAACAAAACAAAAATTTCACAATAAGTTATAAATCATCGGCAAGTTAATAAAAATAAAATAAAATAAAATAACCTACTTTCCTTTTAGAATAAATTCTCCCATTTTCCACACATTGTATATTTATAAACGAAGCTGTGCAACTTGTCTTATTTATTTATACACACGTTAAACTGGCTATATCTATATTTAAGGAAGGATAAATAAAGCCCCATTAACCGTGTCAGCAGGCTTTGATTAATAAAACCAAAAGCAAAATAAAAATGAAAATCATTAAACTCACAAGATGTACTTTAAAGTGTGACTCACAATGGGTGATAATGAGAAGATAATATTGTCAGTGAGGTGAATTCCAACACTTCTTCCATTATTTTTTCTCTCACAAAATGCATTATATTTTATATTTTACATTTTATGACTTTATTTTTAATATATCACATAGAACAATTCTGGTTCAATTTAACATAGAAACTATTCAAAAATAAAGAAAAAATATATAAATGAAATATTAAGTATTAAAATAAAAAAAGGGATAAACTTACTGTGTTGAAATAAGTATCCTGTGTGTTCCTGTGCCCCGAATTTCACTTAATTAAACTTACTATCACAAAAGGGAAAAAAGCACGAAAGACTAGACAAATTCGACACTTATACGACGATAGTCACTGTCTGACTAACAAACCGATTCGAACCGAAGAAGGATGACGTTGGAAGGTCACGTGCTCTAACGAACTCCCTACTCATTCACTACTCTGATGGTGAATCATCGTGATTACCCCTCGCCCTGTCTGTTCGAAAAGGCTTCTTGGCCCACGGGCAGTGAATGGTCGGACGGTTTTATCCGCTGAAACAATCTAGTTTTATTTTGGTCCGTTTTGGGCCAACGTGGGGGTGGGGACGGATACGAAAATCAAGAACTATGCGGGAACTAACTAAAAAGAATGTAACGAGTTCGATCGTTGAAAAGAATGTAATGACTCATTCGTAATTATGATCGTGTCAAAAAGACCCGTCCCACCAGTTCAATAGAAATTTATGTGTACACTAAAATATAGCCCATCAACGATTAATGACTAGGCAGAGGTCAGATGCACAATTTCATGGTGTATTATTCAAAATTTTGTTTCAACAAGTCCAGCTAGTTTTCAACTTTCAAGCTTAAAAGTTGTACTATGAAGGAGCGAGGTTAGGACTGGGCATAGTGTAGTATAAGCTACAAAACCATTTAGAATTTAAAAATCTTTTACATTTTTTACATTTTTCCAGACAATAAAACTACCTTTTGCTTTTAGGAGATAACAGTGCAGGTGCAAGGAGAGGACTAGGCGTAGTTTGGCAGAAGCTAAAGTGCCATCCATGGAATGTTTTTTTTTAAATCGAAAATGTCTTCTACTAGTTTTAAGTTTCTTTATAGATATAATGTTTATAAATAATACGATAGGATGTAAGGAATCAGGTCATGACTGGGCATTGAGTGATAAAAACTTGAACATTTCATGAAGTTTGACTGAACACATCTTCCACTATACTAAGTTTCTTCCAAGAAATATAACGTCTTTTCTGGAGGCTCAGGTCCATTGCTCGTAATATATTGTAGTCTGAGAAAACAATAAAAGAACTAGTTTTGGTGTGAATTTTTATCGGAAAGTCCTTTTCTACAGTTTTCCTTTGAACGTGGAAGGTCAGGACTACATATAGTTTGGTAGAAGCTAAAGGGATATTCCTTGATTTTCCTTTTTCAAAAGAAGAAAGGATCTGGGCCATTGCTCTACAAAAGGTTTTATTACTTTTTTCCAAGTTTTCTTATAATTTCAGAGCCATGCTCATAACAGGACGTAGTCAGAAGAAGCAAGACCAGGACTATGCATAGTGTAGTAGAAGCAAAGTGCCATTTCTAGAATTTTTATTGAAAATGTCTTCTTCTACTAATGTTTTAATTTTTTCCAAGGTATAAATTATTTTAGCTAAGATCAGAGCCATTGCTCGTACGAAGTTCATTAGCCTAATAGCAGCACTGGGTAGGAACTTAACTTGAACTTTTATCGAATGTCTTTTTGTACTCTTTACTTTCTTCTTCTTCTTTTTACTTTAGTAAAGTAATTCCTGTCATACAGGAGGGCTTGAGGTCCAATTACCCGTTGGGAGGTCTTGGACAAGGGGTCAAAACACTTTACAATATTTCATTCACAGAAATGATAAATGGTGGAGTGAGTGTGTTGTTCAATCCCTTTAAAAAGATACCTCCTTCTCACAGTTAGTTGCTTTCAACGATCCGGATTTCGAGCTCATAGCTCATCATCAGTATGAAAGAGTTCTACAACTACGTCTCTCGACATGGTTTGTTAGACTGGAAAGGGATATTTCTTACTACACTCAATTAAAAAACCGTGTGCTGTGCCAGAATTCGAACCCAGGACTGTTTGGCAAATACGAGTCGGCCCCCTAACCTCTAGGCACTGCGCTAATTTTTACATTGTTAAAAGTATAAAACGACTTTTTATGAAGAAAAAAGAATCACAGAGGTGACAGTCTAAAGTCTAAATGCGCCATGACAGAATTGGATAAAGAGTGTAGCAGCTAAGGTACCACTTTTTTTAATTTCGTTTGAAAAAGTCTTCTACTATTTATTAAGGATCATGGTCATTGTTCGTAAGAGGTAGTATTCTGAAGGAGCAAGTCTATGACCAGGTATTGTGTGGTACAAGCAAATGTGCTATACCTTAAATTTTGAATGAAAATGTCTTCTACTACGGTTTTTCGTTTCTTCCAATGTATTTTTAGTGAACAGGGTCATTGCTCTTAAGTGGCAGAAGTGTGAAGGAAAACGTCTATGACGAGGTGTAGTGTGGTAAAAGCAAAAGTGGATATCTTGAATTTCTACAATTTTCTCGTATTTGTGTGTGTTTGAAAGCAAGTGGGCAAGAATTTGGGTTTCCAAGTTTGATATATTTTTACTTTTTTGAAAGCGTAAAACCAACTTTTTTTAAAGGCGGTGGTCCATTGCTTCACACAGGAGCAAGTCAGGACTACAGTATTTTACACCAATTTCACCCATTATGAAGAGGTTTTGCTTTATTCGCCGAGAAGTGTGCTATTGTAAAATACCCAGCAATTATTCTCAATTTAGAATATCCAAATCCAGATTACCCCTTCCTATCAAAATTCATCTCGCAAATTCCCAGGTTTTCCTTGATTCTCTCCTGTCTAGTCTGCTTGTTTTGTTTTTTTTTATCTCTCAGACGAGTTTCGACATATTCACTGATCGATCTGGGTTTAAGTAGGGAGGCGCAACGAACCAAACTTCATCTGGGTCACACAACACACCGACTAGGTGATTAGGGCGACTAACATTTTATAATTAATAAGAATGGCAAAGAGATCGAAATAGCACAGTATTAATATATTGCCAATATAAATAACATTGGATTATAGATAGGATATCATAAATTTTGAAAAAACAGAAAAAATAGCCATGTTTGTCAAAAACAAATTGCTTCTATAATGCCACTTAAATTGAAAAATTATCACCAATTTAGTACAGCTTGAGAATTGACAAGGAACCTAGGTCACAACCGAAGCAGTTTCAATTATCTTTACACAAACAATCTGCTAAACAGTTTGAATCGATAGTTACCATTCCTTTGTCAAAATCTACGATAGTCCAAAAGCTGCCCTTCTCTTACTCAAGTTCAATATTAGAACCTACATAATACAGAGTTAATTGAAAAATTAATTAATAGGTTAGCAAATAGCGAAACTTCAACAGGTAATATTTATCTGTTAATTCATCGACTCTTACAGAGATTTCCCTAATTGAGATTTTATAGATGTTACAAAAGCTTTTCCTGTTTTAAGAAATGGAAACTCTCCTGCACAGAAGTTTACGTAAAGTTGGATCGGATGAATAGATTATCATTATAAACTGCATTTATTATAAACGAAAAAAAGTGCAAGTATCAAGTAGTACAAATTGTACTAAGTTTAATTAGCTTTTTAATTTCTAAAAATTAATTAGTATTTGTTAAGTATTAATAAATTTACTTGGCCTTACTTTCACGGTAGTAAACCTCAGTTAAAGACGTATTTTTTCTCTTTTCTTTCTTTTTTCTTGTAATCTAAAACTCTATTTGTCGGTGTATTTCAAAATCTATAACAGCAGGTTTTGAAGAGAATCAGTTAAAAATCAATTAATTTCAATGGTCCGAGATTAGATAAGAAAAATGGGAATTACATATTTATTAACAGCGAATTCCCGTTTTATTCCCTTCGCAACTTGAAGTAAGGCGAGTGTTGTAAGATCGTAATTTTCACGGAAATCTCAAACTTAAATATGCTAGCTTTGTACTATTTAGTAAGCACACTTCTCGCAGCGTCTAACGCCCAGGTAACTTAATACTGAAATTTAAAAAATAAAAGACTGGAATTTATTTTCCCCACTTTTTTTTGTTTTAAGGATTGCGGCTGTAACATGGAGTACGATCCTATTTGTGCGTCTGACAACCAAATATACCGAAATCGGTGTCATTTTCTCTGCGCTCAGGCCAAGGACGATTGTAAGTAAACGAAATTATGAAAGAAAAGTACAATTAAAACTAAAAATTTCCATTTTCAGCATTGTACGCAGTAGCGAACAACGGATGCAAGAAAACGTTTGAAGTAAGTACAATGTGTACAAAATACACGCATCATTGCATTACTCTTAATTACCTCAGCTGATGAGATAGATTCCAATGCTTTAGATTAATGCTCGTCCACGTCATTCTACGATCCAACTGGTTTTAGAGTTGTCGACACCATCTCCCCTGTTTTAGAGAGCAAGGAGTATTGCTTGGATGCGTTCCTAGATATAGCACATGCTTTTAGGGTCTGGCACCCGGGCATGTTTTATAAACTTAATCGCTTCCTACCCATTCATTATTATGTTATCGTGAAGTTCTTTCTAACCGACTTCTGCAGAGTGAGTGCAGTACCGAGTTCTCGGAAGTCAGACAGTTACAAGCCGGTGTCCCACAAGGGAGCATTTTTGGTACCATCCTTTATACCTTCCTTATACACACTGATATCATTATCACCACCTATGCGAACGCTACCGCTATTTTGTCCTCGGGGACCAAGGTAGCCGTGTGGTTATATGCGTGATAGACTCTCAGCACGTAAACCCCACGGTCGTGTGTTCGATTCCCACCTCGCGTTCAGCCCTTTTATCACACATCCCCCCCTCCAAGAAATACACACGCTTTATATATTATAAAGTTCCTTGGCTAATATGCAAAGTTCGTAAGGCCATAAAAAACTCAAATCCTATCCAAATTACGTCCACCATCCATGAACACCTTGAGCTTATCGAAGATTGGTGCTAACGTCCGTCGTGAAGAGGGAAACAACCCAGACCGCCAGTTAAGGTACTCCAAGTCATGGGTAAGGGGGAAACGATGTGGGAAGACGCAGACACCCAGGATGTTGGCGTAGGAGCAGCATAAATTGGAGGCAAGATTAAATTAAGAAAAATATACTCAGCATACGTTCATTTTGAACAGTTTTTCATTCACTGTACATCCATCTCCCCTGCTCTAGAGAACAAAGAGTATCGCTTGGATGCATTCCTAGACGTAGCACAGACTTTTAGGGTCTGGCACCTGGGCATGTTTTATAAACAAAAACGCTTCTTTCCCCTCCTTAGTATCTTATCCTGAAATCCTGACCACTGCTTCAGGGTGGGAGAAACTAGTTCCCGCAAATCAGACCAACACAAGCCGGCGCCCCGCAGGGTTTCTTCCTATTATTTATACTGCTAACCTACCTGAACACATTAATACCATCCTCATCGCCTAAAAGATACCACAATTTTGCCCTCTATCTCGAATCCTACCCAATATTCCTCCAGCATCCAAGAATACCTTGAGCTTATCGAAGACTAGTGCAAAAAGTGGATGAGAATACTGAATGAAGAAATATATACACAGTGTACATTCACGTTTAAAAAAACAATCAATAACAAAGGGATACCGCCATTCAACTCAAACACTTAGGACTGTACCTAGACAGCAGATTGGCGTGGACTTGGAGAAACGAAGTCGTCTAAAGCCGAAATCCATCTTGACCGTTAACAACCAAACTAATCTTATGCAAGATTTTACTGCGACCAGTTTGGACAATTAGTGGGACTGTGGGGTTCCGCCAAGCCATCCAACATTCAGCGAATCCAATCCTTCCAATGAAAAGTCCTCAGACAAATTTTCAAAGCCCTTTACTATTTAAATTCACTAATTTCGTGGTCCGATTGACCAATTAAATCACTAGAATTCATTAAGGTTTTTAGTAATGATTTAATTGGTCAAGCGGACTACGAAATTAGTGAATTTAAAGAATTAATATGAAGTACACTTCACTAAAGCTCTCCGTGGCCATTTCAATTGTCGTCGAGAATCCAAACCGATTACACGACATTTGAAAAATGGCAAAAAGGAGGGAAACTCATAAGGTGAGGTTGAGATAGGAAGTTGATGTCCGAGTGGATCGAGGTCACGATAGCTCAAGTGATAGAGCAGGGCGTATCTAGCCGAAGATCGTAGGTTCGAATCCCGCTCGTGCCGTTAACTTTTTTTCATCTCGACTAAAAACCTTAATTAATTGTAAGCTCTTTACTATGTTAATAACCTCACTAAACACAACGACCTCGGCATTCCTTTTGTCAACGAACTGATCCGTTCCCGAATGCAAAAGTTTCACAAAATCTCAATTTTTTTATCAACCTATATTTTTAAAAAAAACTATTTGTTTAGTGAAGAACAAAACAGCAAAACTTCACTGGAACAGCTTTAAGAAAAGGCAGAGTTTAATTGCCCAAATTTTTCGAAAGGGAGTGTTCTATTCCTCCTTACTGGTTACAAGGTAAACCTTGTACTTTGTAGGTTTGTTGTTAAAGTAGCTAAAAAGACAGACCCCCCACAAGTGTCACGATCTATTTTTTCTTTGTCCATAGATACCTTCACGTGTACATCGGTTTTCTATTCTTCTGCCACTCCCAATATTTGTATGCCTATTAAGCAAGCAATGTAGTTTAACAGACCTACCATAAAGATTTTCGACTTTATTGGTGCAGGTCTGTTGAAAATTATAGCCAGATAGTTATTCAGATATCGTGAAATGCGGTCGGTCTCACGATATCCGAATAACTATCGATTAACGGTCACTAATCTCTACACATTATAGCCAGATTTACTTGACAAAGTCTTTTGCCTGTCATTCTCTTGTCGTGTTCTTCCACCTTTAATTTTATCCAAGTGACAAGACATCTGAGAGATGTATTTCTAATTATGAAAATTTCCAGTCTTATCCAGGTGAGGTGTGTATCTGCTCGCTGGGATACAGCCCCGTTTGCGGCTCAGACGAACAGACTTACGCAAACCTTTGTGTGCTGAAATGCCACCAAAGAACGAACAACTGTAAGAATTTTAAAAAAAATTAAACCAAGCAATCAAGTATATACAACTATAAATTGGCAAAATTCTAACAGAAATAATTTATTTTCAGCTCTTAAAATGGTAAAAGTAGGACCGTGCGAAAATGGGTTAGCGGTAAGTAACATTAAAAAAGCAAAATTTCCTCTTATGATCTTTAATTTTGGTCGCTTCTTATCCTTTTTGGTCTGCCTATCTTCGTAACTTTTCAGACTATCTTCACTAGTAGACCTGTATGAATTTGGATCATTTCTTCGTGTAAAGTGGACTAAACTAAACAGAAATTACACAAACCCACCAGCGAGTAAAGACAGACCGAAAATTATCGGAAACGACCTAACTGGTAGTTAGCATTACTAATATTTATTAAACGTTTATATTTCAGGGCCCAGAACATCACTGTCTCTGCATGGATGAGAACATGCCAGTTTGTGGTACAGACGGTATCACATACCAAAACAAATGCAGCCTACAATGCACCAAAATGACTAATGGAGGTACTTCGTTTCTCTTTAAATCTCTTTTATCCAAAAATATCGATCCAAAGGAAATGGGGTTTGAAATAACTTGCAGGATGAAGGACGTTATAGTCGAATTAACTGCAAACTAGAACTGGCACAAATCATTGATGCAACCTATCAGAACCAATGGAAATTCATATATGAGGTTGTAAATATAAACTGTTAGATTTTCTGGGTGATGAGCGTGTAGTTTGAACGTCTCCTTTCGCCCAGGTGCGCCTAATATCGCTCTTTTGGCCTCATAAGATGCGTTTCAACCAGTCGTCTGGGTCTTTTTTGTCACAGGAGAAATTCGTAAAAATGAGAGCTGCCTCACCCTGCCTATATCCCTGGCTATCTGTTTTCTTAAAGAAAGTAGTTTACACAAACATTACAAAAGGAAAGCTACCAAGAAAAAAAAACCACTGACGGTCGCGCCTTACAAACCAAACTAGCGAGGATATGCGTACCAAGCATCACTGCGAATAACGAGAACCTCAGATGACAAGAAACACCTCGAATTTCAGGCTTTCTAGCATGTTCTCCTGTCCACATACCAGTCTTTCTGCATGCCTTTCGAAAATGTTATGTATGAACTTATTTCAGGTTTTTCACCAGAAAAATACCATGTACGGTAACATACATAAATTTAAAATTTTATTCCATGCAGGGAAACAATACGTACTTGGTGCTACGTATGCCACCTATGCATGACATCGAAGCAAATTCGAAAAATTATTTGAGGCCTAAAAAAAGATAACAATTACAAAAAAGTCAAATAAATTGCAAAGTTAGAAGTAGATAGTGATGAATTAGCGAAGTTTACTCTTTCAGCACTCTCAAAGAACATTGTTGTATGAGGCTACTTTTTCTGGTTTTTCATTTGCTGAAATTTTGTTGGAGAGGGTCCCCTGTTTGAGTTAGCAGTCGTGTTGATCCTTCGTTCCAGTATTCAATCATAAGCTATGATTTTGTCTTTCAACTTTTAAGCTAATTGCAAAGTTCTTCAAAATTTCTATTGTCCATTCCTGATTGTCTTCTATTTTATCATCATCTTCTTCTTCCTGTTTGTCGAGGATTCCCACGATCCTCTAGGGATCAACTGGGGGGGGGGGGAGCAATCGCGGAAGAGTGAAAGATCTATTGTATACAAAATTTTAGTTTGTACAAAGATGTATATTGATTTATTAACTTTGCCATGCCGAAAGAAGCTGTAATCAGGGTGGTTGACATGGTCCTTTAAGAAATACGCCCTTTTCTAATGATAAAAGTATATAATCAAGAGGGCGAAGGGCAAAGTTTTTCATGGACGTCAAGGGAAATAAAAATAAATTACATCAGGAAAACCCCTCTCCGAAGTGTTCGGGGGATGACCCATTTTACAGTAAATTTCAAATCTACATTTTTAAGTCGCCTGTTGTTCAAATCACCGTTTAAAATACTTACATAACTATTAGAATTTATTTATAAGTAACTGTAAGTGTGGTATGTTACAGATTTGGAAATGCATTACCGTGGGCCATGCAGAATTGTGAGGTTTCTAGGGATGAACAATAAATACAACTACAGACGTTAAATCTTAATAAAAAATTAATTATAAGGTTTAATGCAAATTTCCTCTACAACAATTACATTATACATTAAATAATAACAGCATGTAAAAAAACTATTATTTAATTGTAAATAAAGACTGTTTTTAAAGAAATTTCCTTTCCTTTCTTTGCCATTAAATTAATGAAATATAAATAGCGTGCAGGATGTTAGGCCACATTTCAAGGATAACCCTGGAGAATGAACCCTTCGTCCTAATTAAGGTCGTTCCCTCTTTCAAATGAGAGAGGTTCGCAATCAAAATCTCCCTCCTTCAAAAATCCTTATAAATGATCATTACAAGTGCAGTAAAGTCCAATTATAAGACAATTTTATTAAGGCTGAGCTTTTAAAAAACCGTTCAGGGCTTTTCTCCTCACGACGTTGGATGCTGGTGGAGCAAACTGGCGGTATCGATTTATAAAGCCCCCATCATCGTTACAAAGTGCTACTAGAACGGATAAGCCACACAGGACACGTTGATAAGGACATTCCTTAAATTACCATCCTATATCTGACTGCGCAGAGCGGTTTATTTAGTGCGACCGCCGCGGTTTCCGTAATTATTCATCGCTTAAGCTTCGTTCATTTGCATGCGGACACGGCCCAACGAGTGAAATCCACCAACTGAAACCTTTATTAAATATGGACCTTGTTCAATCCGAATAAAACCGTTTATACTAACTGTTATATAATATTGGCTATATTTAATTTTAGATGATGATTTATATTCGGGGTGATCATCCCAACACCATCCTTACAACCTACGTGGATGATACTCCATCTTTATCACCTAAATGGTAATGGTAACGAGGATACTAGGAAGCGGGATTTGTGCTACCCAGGCACTTCAGTCTTCTGGCTTATTGTACTTTCCTAGTTCCCTAGTTCAATGCAACAGACTCAATCCTTCTTCTTAGAAGTATCAGGTTATTAACTGTCGCTGCTACAATTTCATTCCCTAGATTTTTTCTATATGTTAGGTTTCCTCCTCCTCATTGCATAATCTGCAGATGGCATCATCGTGATATATGGCCATGTTGTGTAGATGTTTTCTCAGATGCCAGTGACGGTTAATAGACCTAACGCTCTTCTCTGCGTCTAGCCCTCTCCAATTGCAGCAGTCAGTTTGCCAGTCTTGGTGAGGTTTACTGTGTCTACCGCTACTAGAGTTTATCCACTTCTCCTTTTGTTTTGTTTGGATCCATTCTGCGATGGAGGATTCTATATTTGTTTTTGATATCCAAGTATAGGTTCAGGGCCTAAATATGGTCTGGCAGGTCCTTCTTTGGCCACTGTGTCTGCTTTTTCGTTACCCAAAATTCCTCTGTGCCCTGGCACCCTAGATATCATCAGGCTGTTGTGTTTCCCCAGGTTTTGGAGATTTTGGATACATTCACTGACGAATTTTGATGTGATTTTTTTACAATCTAACGCTCTAATAACCGTTTGGCTATCAGATCTTATGAGGCCAATGTAACCTCTTTTAAGATTTTCTAGTGCAAAAGCGTTGATGGCATGTATTTCTGCTTGAAAGACCAGAGTACCCTAATGAGTTTGATTGCCCATATCTAGGGCTTGTAAAAAAAAAAATAACCAATCCGAAAATGCATGTGGACATGACCCAACGAGTGAAATCCACCAACTGAGACATTTTTTAAATATGGAATAAAACCAGTTTATTATACTAACCGCTATATAATATTGCCTAAATGTGATTGTATATGATTTATATTTTCGGCGTCGTCCCTACACCATCCTTACAACCTACGCGGATGACTGCACTTTTATCTAAACCATCTCCAATCCAGGAGTATCTTGAGCTCTTAGAAAAAGAGTGAAAACGTGGAAAATGAAACTGAACGAGGACAAACCCAAATTACGTTTACGCAAAACAAATAGCCTTGCCCACGTCTATACATTACAACAGAACAAGTAAAATATTTAATAGACTGACTGGAATCCTCACACAAGGCTCAAGGGACAAGAACTAAATAGACGATTTGGACAACTTCGAAGACTTATAACACCGAAATCAGGCATGACTGTAAAGAACAAACTAACTGTAGAAAACATTACTTCGACCTACTTAGACACAGAGCGGAACTGTGGAGTAGCACCAAGCCATCTAACATCCAACGGCTTTAAGCATTCCAATCAAAAGTCCTCAAAAGAATTCTCCAAACTCCTAACTATGTCTCGAACTTCACTATCCACAATGAACTTAACATTCCCTAAGTGAACGAATTGATCCGTTCCCGCTTCCTTAAGTTTCACTCTTTCAACCCATCCTAAACCTACTACTCAGAGCTCGCCTTTTCTTCCCATCCCCAGGACTATCCACGGCGCCTTAAACGACGATGGCCCCGAGACCTGCAGTACTCAGATTCCTGTACAGGATACAAATAATATTAGATAAAAATATGATACGTCCATGTTTAATAAACTCCTATCTCTCACTTATTGACAGGTTTGGCCAGAACAGTAAAAACAGATTTTGTAGTAATGCTAAACAATTTAACATCTGAACATGCCCTCAAATCATTTATATTACGTAATGTTTATCGATTAAAGGCTTTTTATTAAAACGTTTTCCCAGGCGTGCAATTGTTCAAAACTGTCATCGTTTAAACACAGATTGTCTTCCGTTGATGTTCAAAACTGTCATCGTTTAAACACAGATTGTCTTCCGTTGAAAGCCAACCGGCGGAAAGACAACCGATGAGAATATGCGGACCAGAGATGATCAGTATTGATCAAACTAGTAAAGACGATCACCTCGCAGAAGGCACAGCGATATTGAACATAATACCAACCAAATATTTACGCCAGGAGAATACAGTTGTAACAAAACAAGTATATATTTAATAGAAATATAATCAAAGGTTTATTATAAAACATTAAGGGTATGTTCATCAAAATGCGTTTTTTTTCCTAGAACAAGTCCACAAAACAAACGAACAAACTGTACAATTTTAACAATTCAATTTCACTGTAATGAACCTTAACGAGATTATATTAATTAATTATTAACCACATTAACGACGGTAGATTCGATATAGTGCGATTTGTATCAAAGGGCTACAATAAAATTAGCCATATTAGATTTTACCCTAATACTTAAATGAAAATGAAAAAAAAACATGTCACCAATCATTTTTAACAAGTAAGGAGAAGTATTTTTCATTCTTTGACGATGTTTCGTTTGTTAACAATAAATATTAACTGGTATAGAATTGTAACGAACCAACAAGAAGTGTCTGAAACTGGATACAGGAAAAAACGAAAAAATTTACATGAGGCTTAATTTAAATCAAGTCAAGAAACGTTACGAAGACATTTTTTTTTAATATGTATAATTTGTACAAGGCCAGACCAGCTTGTATGTAATATGTATGTAAGAATGTAATAATACATACTAACTAAACATCTTGAACCAAAATTAAAATTAATCAATAATTAAATTTTCAATAATCATTTTTATAAATTATTCTTTTCATCTAAGGTTTTATCACCAGCCGAAGGCCGTGGGTTCGAATCCCGCTCGTGACACTAATTTTTCATCTCATCCAAAAGCCTTAGAAGAAAAAATAATTTAATGGAATAATTAATACGGTTTAGTGGTCAATTATGGCCACTAAACAAATACGGATTAATTTAATTATTTGTATATTTGTATTAATTAATCATTTAAGATACTAATGAGTGCAAAGACAGAGTTTATAGATTGTATTCATAATATATTTTATTATAAGCTTCTTTTTTTTTTGAAATATATATTTTTATTTAAAAAAGATTTTTTTTAAGGCTATATTGGTATGACTCCCTCATGTAACTTCACAGCTGAGTCTGAATGATTTCTGTTTAGTTGGGTTTTAAGAACGAAAAATAGACATCACTGACCCAGCACTGAAGATAGCGAGATTCCGAACTCGTTTGACGGCCAAAACAGCGAGGACAAGCGGACCAAATCTTCAGAATTGAGTCTGTGTGGATTCTGTAGTTAAGTCTTTTTTAATGGTCGCGAGGGGTAGGTGAGCTTACGTGGACATTATCTTTGCTTGTCGATGCCTTAGAAATAAAATATATAGTATATTGGACTGTATGCAATACTTGTCAAACAAATAATCAGATATTGTTTTTAGAAGAAGATTTAAAAGAATTGACGTACGACTTCAAGACTGGAATGTGTGTGGGTATGTATGTGTGTCCAAATGCAAAATTTCGTAATCATCGATTATCAAAATATGATTGGTTTAATTTTTAATTCATTTAAACCATTAGGATTTACATTGTTTTCACTGATAATGTGTTTACATTATAATCATAAACATACATAAAACATGACTATTTCAATAAACAAAATAATTTACCGGAGAGAAAAATAATCAACACTCGGATTATTCAATTATTTCGTAGAATCTTTATCCCACTGAATATGTATTCCGCAAAAGGGTTAAAAGGGCGGACAAGTACAGAAATGTAAACTGCCAAGAAAGTCTAGATTAGACATATCTCTCCTGCCAATGCCTGTCTTTAAAGTCTGCAGTATAAAAGGGCAAACAAAGCTACAAAACTTTCTTCCTCAGAGAACAAAAATCGTTTCATAACAAAGTCGACGAGGTATCACAAGAATATTGTATTAAAATGATTCTTGGACTAATCACAAACATAAGATGGAAGTTTGAATTTCATCTTGTCAGGTCTTTTCATACACGAAAATGATGAAAATTTGACAATAAAGGGTGATTTTACGATCAAAATTAAGTTACCACAGTTTAGAATATTATAACGGTCTCATACCCTCTGTTAAACAACTGTTGCATTCGTTATGACCATGTCCCTGGGTAAATATCATTTGGGCTAAATAGCTTTGTACAGGACAGAACAGCTCTTCAACGAAGTCATATTGCGACGTGGGCAAAATTGGTCCTAAGAGTATTAAACGAGCGGGCGCTCCATGATGGTCCGAACATAACTCTGGCTACCGAAATATCAAAATGACACACACATCACATGCTCAGACAGCATAAAATCCAGGACGGCTTGAACGAAATTTTTAAAATAGACTCAGATAGAAGAAAGTCTATTTCGATCTTTGCGTGAATGATTCTA